CTTTGTCATTAGTCTGTAGAAAATCTTCGAGGAAATCTTCCTATGAAGGAAAATGAAGTTTTTCATCGTTGCTGTTAGAGTGGGGGACATCGCCCCTGCTGGAGACCAGCGAGCTTCGCCCTAAAACCTAACCTATATATATGTTTCAAATTTTATCGGATTATCTCGGAAACTGAAAGACCTGCTGAAAAAGCTATAAAGAAAAAAGTCTTGAAACTTAAACGCTCTGTAACCGGTCTACAAGCGAATTGTTTGCGGACATGTTTATAGGAAGAAAAAAGTATTATTTTGATTTAAAAAATAAGCCACTGTCATCTTGATTCTGAATTTTGAAACACCCTGTATCTCTTAAATTCATATAGAATTTTGCCAAATCCTGTTTGACATTTTATGTAAAGTTTCCCTAGGTCATTCATCTAACTATGCCGTAGGAGGAAGTGTGATCCCCTTTCCTTTATAAACACGCGAACATGAAACATCCAAACATCATCCATGGTATTTATAATTTATATCATTTAATAATCTGCTAACTGAATTCACGTGATATTCGCATGAATTGAAACGAAACCTATGACTCATTCCCACATATGCGGTTGTTTTCAATACTATGAACTGAATGAGGCTACTTTGCACATTTTTTTGCTTGTTTTAATGTTTATTTCAACCATTTTAAGGTGGAAAGGGTTCATTCTGAACTAGGTATCCTAGGTATTTGAAAATAGTAGATTGTTTTATTAGGATCAAAAGTGACACTTTGTTTGACAAGCGAATTTTGCATTTGCGAGGCGGAGCGTTTAGCGAAGCCGAGCGAAAGCAAAATTTGCGAGTCGAACAAAGTCACTTTTGATCCGAATGAAACATGCTATTTTTTCTGCAACCGAAACAATTGACTCAAATAAATATGTGAAGTTACCACCAATGCCGTGCCATATGTATGCAATGCAACAAATATTGACAAATAATCCGTGTAGTGAGAACATTCTACCTGCATCAACAGCAGGTTCATTCAATTTTCAAGGATGTTCGAATTGTAGTTTCAATATAAGTTCAATCAAAGAGTGACATATTTGTGTATGGACCAGGTGCTCTAATAGCAAATACCGCGCCAGCTATAGGAACAAGACGTGGAAAATGTTAGGTTAATGAGCATATCAACAATGATAATGGCGATTGTTTACTCCTCTCTATGATACAATGTTTTTCACTTAATAATCAAATGAAGCTAAACAATATCGTTGCTTGAGACGAAAAACTATTGCTTGCCGTGATTATTCAAAAACAAGTTATCCATCCCGAGAATAACGAATGTAATACAGATCAAGCAAGTATTTGAATCTTGAAGGCTTCCCTGATCAAACAAAAATACTTAGCTGAGATGTTTATAATTCCAATACTAAACTATAATAAGGTGTATTTATATCTCCAGCATGGGTATGAAATTCCAAATCTGCTGAAATCGGAAACAAATCAGGTATGCGTCTCAACCCTAATAACCAATCGTCACAATGTTGTTCATTCTTGATGACGTCCAGTACTTCCTTTTTAGTTCCTAGGAGCTAAAGTTGAACTTTAGCTCCTAGGAACTAAAATTCAACTTTAGCTCCTAGGAACTAAATATGTTGCCTAGCAACCTACCTATTTTTGTGTCAGTAATAGAAACGTCAATTTAAGAGCTAATTTTGGTATCAAAATGGACGACTTTTGTGTCGGTTGCAGAAAAAATAATGTTTTTCGAGTGTCTTTCTAGACGACTTATTGGTTCTTACGTCGCATCTCACACTCTGGAAATCCATTTAGAAACTGTTCATTTAAAAAAAAACTGGCAAATTTGCCCCGGATTTATGTATACTTCACCGAGGGTTTATTTTTGTCATGAAAAGCAATGCATGAAAATCAATACTTTGACTAATGTTCACCAATAACGAGTGTACTCTGTCACTAAAAGTATTTTTTCGTCGATACCTCTACAAAAAATCACATTTTACGTTCTAATTTCCGAACGAAGAACCGATTATGTCCGAAGGCAAATACTTTTCGTCCGCATCAGACACTAACTTTTCGCCCGCAAACACTTTTCATCCGCTGCAGAGTTTTACTGAAGTTTTTGTAGATCTCCTGATTTGCATATTGATCTACTGATCTACTGAAACATTCCATAACCTACTGAAAAATATTTTCACACTTATATATTATTATAATTAGATATTATTATATTGATATAAATCTTCAGTTAATCACATACACTTAATGTATGAACCAAAAAAGAACCATACCACATATGATTCTGATCCAAATTTGATATTTTGTATACCTCTGTTATAACAGTTCGTTTCTTACGTTTAATTTTTTCATTTGTTTTGTATTTCTGTTGTTCAGTTTCACTATTAATTCGTTCCTGTTTTTTATATACCTACTCAAATCTTATGAGTACCTATATGTAACTGTATTTTTTGACATTTTTGAGTATTTTTGAATTGAGAATTAGGTATATGATTATTTTTGTATGAGAATGTTTGTTTTCTTCGTTTCTATTTTGTTGGAAATAGGTTACTTTTCTGTTCACGAAGAGTACATGATCTTTTGACGTTATTAGTTATATTTTCGAGATCATTAATCGCCTTTCAATATACAAGTCGGTTAAAACATTTTTCCGTCGACTATATTTCTCATTTCTCCTGCAATGAAGAAAACTTGGTTCGCGAATTCATCATTCATCCGGAAACTGCTGAGAATCACCCAGTATCCTTGTTACTGACATAAGTGACATTTGACATTTGTCGAAATGATCAACATAGAAAATAAATTCCTTGTGTTAGAAAAAAAGGGATTAAAATCGTGTCAGAAACTTGGAAAGGCGAACCCGTTAACGGAAGATCTTCGATGAAATCCATATTTTCGATTTAAATGCAGATTCCGTAAGTTATAGCATAAACAATGAATGCACGCGGTGTATGTTTGGTTGCCTATAAAACAATGGTGCAATAATAGACAAATCTTTCATTAATAGGGGTCATTAATGAACGATTTCATATATATTAAACTTAGTCGTTAATACGAAGTCGACGGAAAAGGTTTATTCGAGGGTTTATTTCATTGTTCTTTCTTGGAATTTGTATAGCATAAAACATATCTGAATTTTTGAATTGATGAAATAAAAATCGAACTGGCAACCCTGGTCTGCGCGGACAACAACGGAATTGACAACAACTGTCATTTGCTGTTGTCAAATTAATTATTCACGAAATCCGATAGATTTCACGTGTGGAATCGGGCCGTGATGTGGATACAATTGTTTACAAATAGAATATTGTGCAACAAGTGGGAAAAGTTCAACTTTTCTCACGAGAGCGAAAGTTTGTGGCACGAACCTGAAGGGCGAGTGATGCAAACGCACGAATAAGAAAAGTGCTTTTTACCACATGTTGCACACTATAGTTTTTCTACAACTGCACTTATTCAAAGAATCCGAGTAATGTAATTCATTTTATAATGTGGCACTATGCCACATTGAATATTGTGACCAAAGAGTAGACGCCTTTCCTAGTTCCTCAAAGTATTTAAAAAAAGTACACTTTCCGAAAAAGATTTTATTTCTGTAATTTTTCAGATTCCATATATTTTTCGTATCAATATACCAATTCATACTTTTTTCTTCAAGTTTCTGGAAACAAATCCAACTTTCGCAGCTTCTTCCATTATCTCTGTCTCTGGCGGTGTATTTATCAAAATCGTCACATCTCGGTATACCGGGTGACCCGGAACCAATTCACCCCCCGTATCTTCGTTGTTATTTTGTATGGATGTTTCAAATTCGGTACTTCGATTTGATGTTATGAATGTACAATTCAGCAAGTATCAATCTAAATATGTCACTTTCAGTTTGTCAGTTTCAGTTGAACTTTAGCTCCTAGAAACTAAAAAGGATCTACTGGACGTCATCAAGAATAAACAACATTGTGACGGTTTGTTATTTGGGTTGAGCCGCATACCTGATATGTTTCCGATTTCAGCAGATTTGGCATTTCATACCCATGCTGGAGATATAAATACACCTTATTATAGATTAGTATTGGAATTATAAACATCTCAGTTATGTATTTTTGTTTTGATCAGGGAAGCCTTCAAGATTCAAATACTTGCTTGATCTGTATTTCATTCGTTATTCTCGGGATGGATAACTTGTTTTTGAATAATTACTCCAAGCAATAGTTTTTTGTCTCAAACAACGATATTATTTAGCTTCATTTGATTATCAAGTCAAACACAGTGTATTATGGAGAGGAATAAATAATCACTATTTTCATTGTTGATATGCTCACTAACCTAACATTTTCCACGTCTGGCACTGGCGCGGTATTTGCCATTAGAGCACCTGGTCCATACACAAATATGTCACTCTGTGGTTGTATTTATATTGAAACTACCATTCGAACATCCTAGAAAACCTATCCTGCTGTTAATGCAGGTAGAATATACTCTCACCACATGGATTATTTGTCAATATTTGTTGCATTGCATACATATGGCAAGGTATTGGTGGTTACTTCACATGTTTATTTGAGTTAATTGTTTCGGTTGCAGAAAAAATAGCATGTTTCATTCGGATCAAAAGTGACTTTGTTCGACTCGCAAATTTTGCTTTCGCTCGGCTTCGCTAAACGCTCCGCCTCGCAAATGCAAAATACGCTTGTCAAACAAAGTGTCACTTTTGATCCTAATAAAACAATCTACTATTCTCACAGTATGGGCAATACATGGTTTCAAAACTAAGTAAGCTATGAGAAATGCGCTACTTTTCATAGCATTAGTAGAAAAAAATGATATCCACCACGGCGAAAAACTGTCAATTGTCTCGCCTCATGGTTCGAAATCACTAATATACCGTATATTCTACTCGTGACCATATTGATTGACGTGAATCCACTCAAAATCCTCACATTCGAGCAAATCCTCACACATTGGCAACGCTGCTAATGACTCATCAATCCTTTTCGTTCCAGACCGACAGCGAGGTGGCCTGCGAGGAAGCCGCTCGCCTCACCGTCGATCAGCAGCAGCAGGACGAGGACGGCGACATATAATGTTAGATTCAAATCTAGTATAGTGACTGATTTTATGTTCAAGTGTCTCATTCTTTCTGACTCATCGTTTACATTGTAAAAATGTCCTACAGGATCAATAAATATTATTATTATTATTAATATTACCGTATGTTCTACTCGTGACAATATTGATCGATATATTGATTGACGAGAATCCACACAAAATCCCGAGCAAAATCCTCACATTCGAGCAAATCCTCACACATTGGCAACGCTGCTAATGACTCATCAATCCTTTTCGTTCCAGACCGACAGCGAGGTGGCCTGCGAGGAAGCCGCCCGCCTCACCGCCGACCAGCAGCAGGACGAGCAGGACGAGGACGGCGACGAGTACTGCTACTACCACGACCTGCCGCCGCCTCCCGACGGCGGCTACGGCTGGGTGGTCGTGTTCGCCTCCTTCTGCTGCAACATGATCGTCGACGGCATCGCCTACACGTTCGGCATCTTCCTGCCCGAGATAGTCAGTAACTATGAATTACCTTCAGTAGTAGTTGTATATGTACTTCTATAGCCAATTTCTTTCTGATGATTGTTTCATGCTCCCATTGGTATTGGTATTGGTAGGTTGGATGGTGACAGATGCGCTGCGACCCAATTAGATCTATTGTGCCCCATCTGCTTCTGCTATACAAGGATTTCTTGTTCATAGCAGCCCCTCGAGATTCAATTCCTTCAGGAATTTGAGGATTTTGAGGGGGTTTAGCTGTGGTATTTCTTCCACAGTCAGCTGGTGTGTTCCCAGTATGTTCAATCTTTTGTGATGTACAGCGTCACACTCCATCAGTATGTGATGGGGTGTTTCTGGTTCTTCCTCACAGAATCTGCAGGTGCCGTCCTCCTGTAAGCCTAGCTTCCTTAGGTGTTCTTTGAGTCTGCAATGCCCCGCTAGAATTCCCGTTATTGCTTTGAGACTTCCTTTGCTGAGGTTTGTCAGTGTCTTAGATCTTTCTCAGTTGAAATTTCCAAGGAGATCTTCAGCCTGCCGTAGTCCTGGAAGTCTTCTTCATTGTCTGGCTCTCCAGGCTCTCTTAGCCTTCTCAAGTTCTCCTTGGAAATAGGAATTTCCAAGGCCGCAGAATGGCTCTGGTCCGATTAGAAGCCACGAAGCCCCTTGTCGTGCCAGAGCGTCTGCTTGTTCATTCCCCTCCACTCCAATATGCCCTGGCACCCAGAAGAGGATCACTTTATTGTTGCTGCCTAGCTCATTCAATTTGCTCAGGCATTTCCATACCATCTTCGAGTTGATGTAAGGAGAGCTCAACGCTTTGATGGCTGCTTGGCTATCGGATAAAATCGCGATGTCCTTCTTCCGGTATTTCCTGTCTAGGTTGAACTGGATGCATCTTCCTATGGCGTGTATTTCCGCTTGAAAAATGCTGGGGAATTGTCCCATGGATTCGAAGTATTTGGTGCGAGGCCCAAAGACTCCTGCTCCAGTTCCCTCGGGTGTTTTAGACCCGTCCGTATACCAAGTAATGGTGTTCCTTCCCAGTGATTCGATGGATTCTGTGCTCCATTCGCACTTGTTGCTCAACTCCACTCGGAAGTTCTTCTCAAAACTGAACTTCCTAATGATTTGGTCTGTTGGAAAATCAGCGAGGTGTGCGATCTCAGTGGGGGGTGAGCCCCTTGCACTGTGCGTTTTCCCTCTTAGTCCGACCTTATTGGCTAACCTGAGATGTGCTCCATATGCAGTTCTCCTCACCACGATGTGTAGAGGTGTGAGATCCAAAATGACCTCTAGTGCTGCTGTTGGAGCTGATCTCATTGCTCCTGTTATGCAAAGACATGCCAATCTTTGCACCTTCTCTAATATTTTCATTGTAGTGGCGAGTTCGGTTCTGCCGTACCACACTACTGCTCCGTAGTCGATCATTGGTCTTACTAGCATGGTGTACATCCATCGCAGTATTGATGGGTTACACCCCCACGTTTTGCCTGCAAGGTTCCTAAACACCATCAGTGATGATTTTGCCTTACTGGCGAATCTTTTCTACGTGTCTATTCCAGAGAAGCTTTGAGTCTAGGATGAGCCCTAGATACTTCACTTCTTGTTGCCATTCTAGGTCTTCTCCGTTTAGACGGACGACTCTTAAGTGCTGAACCTTCGTTCTTCTAGTAAAAGGTACCAATGTGGTTTTCGTTGAGTTAATTCTCAACCCCACCAAATGGCACCATCTTCTGGTAGTCTCTAGCTCTCTCTCTATGAGGTCGCAGAGGGTCCCTTCAAATTTGCCTTTGGCCATGATGACTATGTCGTCCGCATATCCAAAGCAAGTTACTTCATGCACCTAAGCAGCCCAGTGTTTGTTGTACTTGAGCTATACTATACTCCTAAATAGAACGCATTTTACCGCTGATTTATAGATTCATTAACGTCACGTAACGCCAATGAACTCAATGTAAACAACATCCTCTGTGAACGACAAATGAGGCAGAAAGATTGTTCAGGAATCAGGCAACCCGCGGTGGTTACGGATACCTATCTCTTTCTACCTTATACAGGGTGAGTCGTAACTATTGGGACATAGGCTAAGGGCGGATTGTTTGGACCAAAATATGGCGATTGGACCAAACATGCCTCAATAAAATATTACCGTGAAAAGAGATACAGGGCGTTAAAGTTGATTTTTTTCGTTTTTTGTCGGTTTTTTTGCTAATAATTTCACTGTATGAAATATATTTGTAAAAGTTTTGTGATTTGATTGCTTTCTGCCTAGATATTAGAGATATTAAGATTCATACCTTCGAAAAAATCTTGACTATATACTCGCACCAAAATTCATTCTCTGACAAGAAATGCCATTACCAGCAGCATTATCTGACAGTTCGAAGCACGCTCTTCATGAATGAAATAATATTTGTAATTAACATCGGAGACTCTGAACTGTTCAATAGCGTTTTTCTCGAAAACGGACGAATATAACGTGTTCAAACACGAGTACCAATATTACGTAGAAATAATGTTTAGAATATTCCCTGTATGGAATTATGCCTCTGTGCCAATTTTGATAACAATTGATGAATATACAGTGAAATTATTGGTAAAAAACCGAGTGAAAAACGAAAATAAAAAGTAAACTTCAACGCCCTGTATCTTTTTCCACAGCAATATTCGATAAAGGCATATTTAGTCCTATCGCTATATTTTGGTCCAAACAATCCGCCCTTAGCCTATGTCCCAATAGTTATGACTCACCCTGTATATGTTAGCTAATGGGAAACCACTAGGAAACGCTCGCATTATTTGAAATATTTTCTTGTTTTTTTTGCTTTTATTCAAGAGTAAACGTGATAAATGAATATTCATTCTGGAAAAAGGATAAAGTTGCAATCAATTATAATTCGAAAATAATTATAAATTTTCTTGTGAAATTTCATTTTAATTCTTACATGATTAGGAAGTCAAAAGAATACAAAATTAAAATCATATAGGTATTCTCATTCAAATGTCAAAATATTTCGTACATGGTAAGCGAATCTCAATGTCTCAGCACTATCAGAAGAAAAAATTTCGAAAGAGGTTTTTGAATGGTAAGTCTATTATCTCGGTCTATATTTTAAGCATTATTTTTAAGAGTACCTATTTTTCCATAAACATTTCACTATGAGAAGGTGAATGAATATATGGGTGAATAAAATAACAATGTTTGGACGAATTATTGTTTCGTCAAAGATGAATATCTGTCTTGCCCAGAATATTCCTTTTTTCCGCTTTTTTCCTTTCTGGAGATCGAAGGAGAAGCTTCAAAGGCAAACCCGAAAAGACAATATGATGTAACTCTTGAGTTTGAAAATTTGAACTTGTAGTTTTTGCGAGTTTTCACCTTCAACATTTTTTTTAGTACCCCACAAGACAATGACAATCGTTTTTACTTTTTGTTCGAGTTTTTTCACTCTTCTTTGCAATAGAATAAGCTTTCTCGAATAAAACAGTTTGCGAGTTTCAATATCAATAAACTATGAAACTTGGGAGCTGGAAGTTGTAGGCAAATCAATGTCCATATGAAAAGTATCGTCCGTTGCATTCAAGTAATGAACACATCCAGGATACATCCTGAAAATAAATTACTATAGTTTTTCTAAGAATCTGATCAATTTTCAACTTACCCATGAAGGACAATTTCTGTATGTCTTGCTTGGTTTGCATCCAAAGGCAACACCATATAAAAAACCATTGTTCATCAATTCGAAATCAAAAAATGTTTCAACACCAATCAATTCACACCAACAAATTCAGTCCTTTTGAAGAAACAAAACACGCTAAATTTTGCGATATTTCACATAACAAAAAACAATGAAGTTCTTTCTTCACTTTTTTTTTGCCTGTTAAGGTAAAAAAAAATCTCGAGTACTTCAATCATTCGATAAAAGAAAATGTATACACCAATCCGCCATCAAACCACACGAGTGTGAAAGAGACAGGTTACCGTAACACAATAAGCTATATTTGTTGCAGCTGCCCCTGACACATTCTGTGCTATTCGAAAAAACGGCAGTCTCCCTTTCAGTTGTTTACATTGAGTGATTTAACATTGAGTTCATTGCATAACGCGAGTACTTTTGTTACAAGACAGAAGAGAACACATGGGATTTTTCCAGTACTGTTTATAGAATGTCGTTCCGCAAAACACTGGTCGTGGCTGCAACGCGAGAGATGCCCATTTCCATCTATTCAATGTTCGCGCTGTGGAACGGTGACAGAACGTCATGCAAAAAAGGAGGTTTATAGAATTAGGAATTGATTAGGGTATTAGGGCGACTTTCAGTGACTTAAATGAAAACTTTCAGCATTTAAGATATAACATTTGAACATTCAAGACTTGAGAATCTTGAGTGGATTCAGTTATAAAAAAATTAAGATTCAGTAAGTAAGTGAGTTAATTAAAATTTCATGTTCTGAAATCATTCTATCAATGTATATTTATATCTCTAAAATGATACCCACATCTCCATTATATTTCCACATTATTCTGAAAGTAATCACTATTCCTTGCCTATCAGAAACTGGCTCTCACTCCTTGGATCTTCTGTCAAACATGGGGGCAACAGAGTTGCGATGTTCTAGTGTATTTTTGTAGATCGGTTTATCGAAAGAAAAACAATTATTCATCAGGAATAACAAACCAAAATATTTTGAATAATTTTTGAATGGCGGGAAATTGAGATGTCACTTTCGGATGGCATTAATGATCATCATCAGCGCTTCTTAAGTTAGAAGCTGGTCATCTTCTTGAATCTCAAATGTTGAATCATACATCTTAGTTAGTTTTATAACATAACCCATGATATTCCCATGTTCCATCTGTCATAAGTGATGAGCCTCAAATGTTAGGTGATAAATCTCAAGTCTTAAAGTTATTTTATAAAGTGGCCCTTACTCATAATAATTGTTCTAAATACAATATTGATTACGGAGTTCTGAGAAGCCACATCGGGAATTATACCATTTTATTTGAGTCAAACAGTTACAAAAATAAAATTGCCATCAAATTGCACGGATATTGTACGGATTATGATTATATCTGGTAACTTCAATTTATTCGTTCATTGATGATGAAGTAATTGATGCAAACTCTTCTTCAAGGAAGATCATGTAGGATACCCCTTTGTTGCTTTTTAATGTATGCTATTCGAGCTAAAGCAGATGGTTGCAAAGATTCAAATCCAAACGAGTATATTTGAAAAATTGTTGGGGATTGTTCTTCTCGAACATAAAGGTGTAGCTTGATATTTTTTTATTTTAAATGCCTATTCAGAGGTCCCACATCTTGAACTGACGACATTTCCGCTCTGCGATAATTCAGATTATCATCCATTGGTAGAATTGGACTACCTTGAACAGATTGACCCTCGTGCTTTGAAACAATATGACAAGATTGGTGAGTGTCAAATTAAGGATAATTTATAGATAATTTATATGAATGTTCACTTTATTTCATCGTCTTACGGTACTGATTGCGGAACGTTAATTATAACGGATATTGTTCACCTTCTGGAAATGATGAAATATAGCCAATCTATGTTGATAATTTCTGAAATTGAAAAAACGTATTCCTGCTATTTATCATGCTCTGGAGTAGCTCCAATGCTTCACACAGTCAAATAGAAAATGGCATTTGGTATGTATGTACAGCATGATTTAAATTTCCCGCCCTTGGATTGTAACAGGAAAAGGAAAACTGCAAATGCGAATTTGGCAGAGGAGATTCGAAAAGCTGTGTGTAAGGTATATTCTTTCATATTCAAACTTTATTCAACCCCTTTCAAAATGGTGGAAATGGCTTCAGAAAAATTATTTTACTCACAAGGTTACCATTTGTCCCCCATATTCTGAAAAACATATTTTTTAGAACAACTTTCATTCAAGAAGTTAGGTTTTCTGCATCTGAACTGGCCCCGCCGTTATAAAAATTAAGTCATCCGGGTTTTCGTTTTAAATACTAATTAATTTTAATATGAACGCATAATGTATTCCAATTCATAATGCTTAACAATTTGTTTTCCTGCCGAGGTGATTTTCATTGCTGCGGGGTCAGTTGATATTTATTTGAAAATGCCAACATTAGAGTTCCATAGCTATCAACCAAATAATGGTAGAAACAAGTTCATGGATGGAAGTTATTTAAAATATATGTTCTTCCAGAATATCAAAAAAAAAATTGAGACTGGAAAACATAATTTGTAAATAAATCTCAACAATAACCCTAATAAAAATCAAGTTTAGTTTTGATTTTAGTTTTAGTCGGTTTCAAATAAATGCAAAATGAATCATACTCACTCCTTATCAGAAAACAATTTGTTCTCCAGCCGACTTGATTTTTCTTACGGCGTATGGAAGCAATAAATACGTTGTAGATGGGTCGTATAGGCTGGGAGACCTCTCGATCACTGCGACCTAGAAGATCTATTGTGATTACCCCTATCTAGTTTTGGTCCTCTAACCCTAGACTTCTGATGAAGCCCACGATTTTCCTGACGGTTGACTTTTCCACTTCAGCAGGGGTGAGATAGACCTGTTCTAGGTGGTTCAGCCTTTGGCGGACTAATACTTCACATGAGCAAAGTATGTGTTCCGCGGTTTCGGTCGCATTGTTACAAAAGCGGTAAGTGTCAGTCTCCGCCAGGCCCATCTTTCTGAGGTGGTACCTCAGAGGGCCGTGTCCTGTGATAAAGCCTGTGATAAGCTTTAGATCTGGTTTGCTGAGGCTGAGTAGCTCTTTGGCTTGGTTCTGCGAATGGTTGATGAACCTTTTCGCTTGTCGTTGACCTGGAGTTGCTCTCCAGTAGGAGGACTCTTCAATTTCTTTCCATTTCCTGAGTTCTCCCTTTAGGTGACATTTGCTTATCCCACAAAAAGGCTCAGGACCAAAAAGTGCAGATGCTGCACCTTTTTTTGCAAGGCGATCAGTTGCCTCATTTGCTTTGATTCGTTCATGCCCTGGAACCCACATAAGTGTGACTTTATTGCCCTTTCCCAGTTGCATAAAGACGTTTATTATTATTATCATTATTATTGTCCTGTTGCAGGTCGACTTCTATGGTGATTCGAAAGGCAAGACGGCGTGGGTGGGGTCGCTGTTGTCGGGCATGTACTTGAGCGCAGGTCCGCTGGTCAGCGCGCTCACCAACAAGTTCGGGTGTCGGGCAGTGTGCGTCTCGGGTAGCTTGATTTCGACGATGGCGTTCGTGCTGTCCATCTTCAGTCCCACCACCAACTGGCTGATGCTCACTTACGGATTCATCGGAGGTAATTATTAGCTTATAACCACTGTTTATACACTTACCGGCAAAAACCTACCAGAAAAAAAATTGCACAATAAATGTAACTTTTTCAATTTTTGTCCTATTTTGATACAATTTTGACTAAATCATTGGTTTATTTTTCGGAATTTCAACCCTTTCGCTCACCGTGTCCACAAATGAGGACAGCCTCTTTATAAATCATTTATGTTGAGCTCTGTTTGTTTTCACTGCAATCTTCTATCGTACTTTGATTATGATATTTTATTATTCAAAATTAGCATATTATGTTCATTATTCCAAATTTTTTGGGATTTTCTCTCCTCGTTGCTATAAAATAAAAATATGAATAATATTACTTCAATATACGTGTAGTGAGGACAAATCAGATGATTTGCACCAAAATGTCACTGCGTTTAACGAATTTTCCTATCAGAGAGCCTAAAAGAAAAAGTCACTACCTTGCCAGTGACAATTTGTATTGAAAAAAGTTTGGAGAAGAGAAATAATGGTATATAGGAAAAATATCAAATTTTCACTTATCTTTAGACGTTTCGGGACGAATCTGCTCCCGTTTTCATCATAAGAAATGATTATTTTAATAGCAAAGTCGTATCTGTCTTGAAGCATTTCAGTTTTCATTGACAATTGGCGACGTTGGCAATCAAATGAGTTACAGGATGTTTTCATTAATTAATCTTGAATTTACCATTTTCATGTTCAGATTTTAGTAGTGAATACCATATCAACTGAACAAGAAGCAATGCTATTGTCTTATCGTTATTGAGTAGAGGCCTAATTTGCTGTGTACCTACCATTATCGCATAATGCTGATATTATACGAGATATCGATATTACTTTTCAACCTTTTGAATGTCGAAAAAATTTTAAACATTGTGTGGGTGAGTCAGAAGTAAATCGACAAACTCGATGTCAATAGTCGTAAGCAATCTAAAATTTGTCAGAACCATCAAACAATCAATATGTCAAACAGTAAAAGTTCAGCACTATGCAATTATGGCACGCAGCAAATTGGGTCTTGACCTCAAGACACATCTTTAGTTTTCTGCAAATATCTTGGGAACCTCTACACTTAGACATGCAGAATTTTTTTACTTTTAGGTTAGGTCGTATTGATAATACTAACTGATTACATACACCAATTTGACAATTCATCTGACTAAGGAAAAATTAAAAGGAAAATGTGGTGATATACGACCCTAGCTACGTCACTGGTTGACAGAATTGAAAAATAAATATGTGATTACCCTGATCAATCTGGATCGGTATACCGAGTTTTATATATTTTGCTACAGGAGTTCTGGAGAAATTGTGAGAAATCTTAACATTTTTCGAACTTTCCACACCCTGTATCTCAGTGAGGATGCATTTCAGGACATACGTTGATAGGAATTTTTCACCTCAAAAGGGGGTGAGAAATCCGTATACGGACTTTGTCGGTCTTAATCTCACCCTGTATATAAAGAAATACATTGAAAATTTGCATTCTCTATGTGATAAAAATATCAATTCTTTCTTGGTATTCAACAAAAAACAACTACTTTCCTGGCTATATGCCTCGACCCACGATCGACTGCACGATCACTTCTAAAGTTGAGAATTTGCATTCAACTTCAGATAAAAATATGTATATGCACATAACAATATTCTGAATAATCAACAGAAAACAACTACTTTCCTGGCTGTTTGCCATTTCGAACATTGAATTATATCTGTTGAAAATCCAAAAGAAGAGCATGAAAAATAAAAATCCTTTGCAATTGAGAATTAACAATCTCTCAAATCTGATAAATGATATGCTGTGTTATGATATGAAAATTCAACTCACCATGTTCAGTATTGAAATGAAAATTGAAATGTATAGGAGGAGTATACTTGCATAAACTCTGATCTTGATGAGCTTGGAACTTAAAAAAAAACATTCGTATTAGTGATATGGGAATTATATCAATTCAGGATTTCTTTCCACGTCCTGTATGAAGAATATCAATTTGTCATTCATCCAAAAAGTATGAGATCTCTACTTTCAGTAGGAAGCAGACTTACTGCTGATTTATCAGTTGAGATTACTCGTTCCATTGTATGCGAAAATTAGTTGCTGCAATTATTTCACAATTCAAATATTTTTTACCTCGTGAACGTGTACATGTCGGAAATCACAAGATATCTGGTATTTTATTGTCGACCTGTTCGCTTGCAATAATTGTTCCAACCTGTGGAAGTGTCAGCTACTTGGCATTCATACTGTATCTCCAGGTAGTTTTGAGTGTTGCTCTGTATCCTCCGGGAAGAACTAGGCAGTCTGAAGATTTGCTTTAAATAGATCTGGCTCGAAGGACCAATATGTTCTATGCTATAGTGGAGTGTATTTGCATATTTTTCTTTGGAAGTTGGGCTCTGCTTATAGAAAAATATTTAGCATTTTTATGTTGAGAACGGGAGCAGATTCGTTTCCGAAACGTCCAAAGATAAGTAAAAATTCGATATTTTTTTCAATATATCTATATTTCTTTTCTTCAAACATTTTTTCAAACAGAGTTGCATTGACAAACTACTGGATCTTTCTTTTAGGCTTCCTGATAGAAAGATTTGTTGAACGCAGTGAAATTTTGGGGTAAATCATCTGATTTGTCCCACTACAAATATATTGATATAAAACGCATATTTTTATTTTATAGAAAGGAGGAGCAAAAATACCAAAAAATCAAGTAAAATGAATGTACCACCTCCTCGATTAACCTACAGACAGTATTACCAATACTCAATCGAGAAAATTACCGTGGCATTATTGATGATTTTATCACCTAAAAATCGACCAAAAAATTCTCGAAAAATATGAAATTGAAAGGTATTTGTGTGATGATTCTATTGGAGAAATAAAATAAAAAATTAGTCCACTCGCCTATTTTCAAGCAATGATTATCCCCACCATTCGCGATTTCATTCATTAATCCGTGTTTGGCGTTCAGAATTATTGTTGGCGTATACTTTTTGACGATTTATGAATGAACCTCAATATGATAGATCTCATAACTAAGAGATCTAGGATGAACAGAGTTGCCCCAATTGTCAGCAGGAGCGAGACAGTACTGTTTCGACCCACCAGGTCTCATCAGCCGCTCTCGGTCTGCTGACAACTGGGACAACTCTACGCTTCGGGTATATCACCCATTTCCTAGATCTCTTAGTTATGAGATCTATCAGTTGAATAGGTGGTGGAAAAATTCCACTCAAGTATGTCAGGTAGTGCCATCTGTCAGCAGAGTGGTTTACTTGTAGTACCACTCTGTAGCGTATAGACGTAAGGGTCTGTACGTGTTGACTATAGATGGCAGCGCCATACAGTGTGTGTCGCGATTTCTGTATCCTACCTCAGAGCTTTATTGCCACTAGATGGCTACAACATGACTATAACTTCATGTTATACCCTGAACCTCAATGTCTATCTATTGTTGCAGGCATCGGCTTCGGCATGATCTACCTGCCAGCCGTGGTGTGCGTCGGCTACTACTTCGAGACGAAGCGCTCCCTGGCGACGGGCATCGCAGTGTGCGGCTCGGGCGTAGGCACGTTCGCCTTCGCCCCGTTGGCCACCGTCTTGCTGGAGAACTACGGCTGGAAGGGGGCGAATCTCATCCTGGCCGGGCTGATCCTGAACTGCGTGCTGTTCGGGGCGCTGATGCGGCCGCTCGAGTATCCGAAAGGTAGGGTTCTGATACAGGCCGTTTGTGCTCGAAAGGGTCCTTAGACCCCTTAGAGGGAAAGTTGTGGGGTAGTTTTGATTTATTTCATTCAGAATCTAGTGGTGCCCGCGAGAGTCTCGTTTTCGAGAGTCTCGCATGGTCTCGTCTCGTTTTCGAGACAAGACTCGAGACGAGACTCGGACAAGACGAGACGAGACTTTTATTGGTCTCGTCTCGAGTCTCGTGCAAGACTTCTCGTGTCTCGTGCGAGAGTCTCGCAGGTAAATATTTCTGCGTGCCAATTGCAGACTTGAGAATTTCATTCATAATAGGTACAACATATTCAGAAAGAATTCAGACTATTTGGCACAGATAGACAAAACATTTCATACATAAATACTTTGAAAACACAATCCATGATCTCTTATGGCAGCGGGAAATAAAGGCAATTCTGCAATAACGACAGATCGCAAATTGAATGACTACCTGAAAATATATTAATGAGACATTCTGTGCTAAATAGTCTACGATAAAGAATAACACAGATATATTTCAATGGTGGAAAAGTCATGCTTCTGAATTTCCCATTCTAAGTTTGATGGCACGAGATCTCTTAAGCATACCGGCTACTTCAGTTTTCTTGTTCAGATGTATGATGTAAGTATGTGTACCTATGAGGTACTTACCTTTCAATAAATAATGTTATTTTTGTTGTAATTTTGTCTTCCTACTTCTACATTATACCTATAGAAACAAGGTTAAGGTGAATATCCCGTACGATAGACTGGAACAAGATTATGCATGACGAAATTGCGATACATTTGCGAGACTCTCGTACGAGACGCGAGACAAGACGAGACTGGAGGCTGCGAGACGAGACTCGAGACAAGACTTCATATATTTCATCGGTGAGACGAGACGAGACTTTATGAAAGTCTTGTCTCGTTGGTCTCGTGTGAATCACTATCAGAATCTAAAAATTGGTGATATACAGTGTGGTCATTTAAGTGTGCAACATATGGGAATCTTTTTAATGAATTGCACAACCAAAATACAGATAGAGCCAAAAGTTGGTGCATGTTCAGTGATCATTTTAGGTGCACTTGAAATGGTTGCAAGTCAAACAGCATACAGGGTAGGTCAAAAAATATGAAAATTGTTCAAGAGTAAAGTACCCCTACCTCAGAAAATTCATCAAAATGTTAATGAGAAAAGTTGTTTGCAATTGAAAGTTATGCCAAATTATCAGAACATGGCCTCCTAAGACATATTTGAGTTTTCAAATTTCTTTCGTTAATAATATCCCAATTTGTAATTTTTTTATATTCACCCTGAACACTTCTATAAGTTGATCATAACAAAATCAGTTGATCATACCTTTGTTCAAATTCAAGCATATTTGTGCAATTAACTTGGATTATAATTTTTTTATGGAATCACAAACTTTATGTTTGTTGCATTGATATTTAGCTTAACTTTAAAATTTTGCAAACCATATTTTTAACAAGGTGAAATGTCATTAATGATGATTTGCAAATTCAAAAACTGTCATTCAATGTGAACATTTTGTATTTGAAATGTTTTTAGAAAAGCTGTACAAATCAATCGATAACCATGATATCATTTGAAATAATCACAAATACTCGAAGAACAAAACAGATGAGCGTTGAAAGTAAACATTATGACAGTTTGGTGACAATAACTTCTCATCTAATCATGTTTTACCTTGTTAAATATATGGTTTGCAAAATTTTAAAGATAAGCTGAATATCGTTGCAACAAACATAAAGTTTATGATTCCTTGAAAAAGTTGAAATCCAAGTTGATTGCACAAATATTTTTGAATTTGAACAAAGGTATTCTCAACTGATGTTGTTATGATTAACTCATGAAAGTGTTCAGGGTGAATATGGAAAAAATTACAAATTGGGAAATTATTAACGAAAAGAATTGAAAAACTAAAAAATGTCCTAGAAGGCCATGCTTTGGTATTTAGGCATAACTTTCAATTGTTAACAACTTTTCCTAATAACATCTGACTGTATTTTCCGAAACAAGCTAGGGTATTTTTCTCTTGAGCAATTTTAAAATTGTTTGACCTGCCCTGTATGCTGTTTGACTTGCAACCATTCTAAGTGCACCTAAAAGGATTACCGAACATGCACCAACTTTCGGCCCTCTATCTGTATGTTGGTTGTGCAATTTATTAAAAAGATTCTCGTATGTTGCACACTTAAATGACCACACTGTATACAAGGTAAATCTGAGAGTGAGGTTTTTCATTTAACACGGTATATATCTCGCCAAAATAGTTTGTTTGGCCTAATGCTTAATTTCCCTCCTAAAGTTTTTTGGTTCACTTTAACCCGGCGTCGCCCAGGTGGGGTCTCGAGAGACATTTTAAACCACTGGCATTTCAATTTGAATGCATGCACGTTTCTTTGGTTTTTTCATATACTACATGTTACTTTTCTAGCTGATAACTTGAACATTTCAATAATTGCTAATTTTTCAAACAGTTTCCAAAGATATCATGTTTTTTTTTTTCATTAGCCTTTCGCCATTTGTATGTAGTTCATGATATCTCATGAATTAACTTGTTATAAAAAGTTTCTATTTAAAATCATGAAGTGAATACATCTAAAAACTAATTCCACATACAAATCTGGAAATATTCCTATTGGTTTTTCCCTTTAGTTTCTAATTATGTGGTACATCAGACCCCATCTGGGTGAGAATGTACAGATTTTCCACCTTGGTGACGCCGGGTTAAAACGAAAATCAATAGGTTGAAAATTAAAAAGAGGGTTTTGATTAGTGTTTCTGATGAAATAATGCTGGACTAATAACGGCTTTTTTGCGTTTTTCTTTTTTGAGAACATAGAGTCTTCTTCAAACCATCAAATACCTATACCTTCGTTCTCTCGAATATTTTATATGAGCAATTTCTTGCCAAACAACTTATTTTAGGGAGATATATTTCTTGTTAGAAAACACTCACTTTGTATAATTTGCTGTTTTTGTTCATAACCCGAAAATTATCAACTATTCGTAAAATTGATCTTTATTCAGAATGGAAGTTGATGAAATTTTCTACAAACTCCATTATCTAATTTTGTTCAATGAACGCTTCGGGCTCAGGCGCTAGCTGAAAATCGGCGTATTGTTTGTCTCCGCAAGAACCCATTTCTGAATGTGAATTTCTTCTAGTTTGAGGTTGAATACAATCTAAAATACAAATAAATACGCGAGGCTCAAAGCCATTACCACAAATGTTCATAAATGAACGAAATTGGTAGATAACGAGGGTTAAACAAACTTTCCTGGTTATTTGCCACGCAAAACATCGAGTAACATCCTCCCGAAATCTATGCAATAATTCGTATAGACGAATAAAATTGCAAGTGTTTCCTTCCTAAACGCCGAGCTGCGCTCAAGTGGTTCAGGAACGCTCGACTACCTGCAGACCGGTTTCGAGCTTCTGCCTCTCATCAGTGCAGCGCGGATACCATACGTATCTTGGGCAATGAATGCTGAGATGCGTTTACGTTGGTTCCGGTTCGCACTAGATAGCGGACATGAATGCTATCTGGGACAGCCCTGCACTGATGAGAGCCAAAAGCTCGAAACCGGGCTGCAGATAGTCAAGCGTTCCTGAACATCTTGAGCGCAGCTCGGAATAAGGAAACACTTGCGATTTCATTCGTGTATTCGAATTATTACATATATTTCGGGAGGATGTAATTAAATGTTCTTCGTGGCATATTGCCAGGAAAGTTGTTGTTTTTCTCCCTTATCTACCAATTCCGTTCACTTATGTACATTTGTGGTAATCACTTTGAGCTTCGCGTATTTATTTAACATTTCCTTCCACTTTGAGCATTTAGGCTCTTTCTTAGTTTAGTTACAATTTAAAATGGTTTCAATTGTTATGCCAACTACGGTACGAAACAATAAGTATTTTTAAAATTATATTTCATGTTGTGCAAATATAACCTTGAGTTTTTTCATTTTACAAAGAAAAAGAAAAATTCGGTCGTCTACAAAAATAAATCATTATAAATAGATTGTGTTTAGTTTTGGCACTACGACCATCATGGTACCTGTGGGATTTGAAAAACATTTTGTCAGCCAAAAATCAAACCTGAAGGAAAGAATCACAATTTATATCGACTGAAAAACGAGAAATATGAGTAATAACTGTGGAATATCAAGTGAATTGGAGAAACAAAATTTTAAAAATTCACTAAACCCATGAGTATCATCAGATGGCCGCCATAAGACATGAGGCAAAACCAGAAGGAGATACTGAGAGCAGGAAATGACAAAAATGACAAGTTTGACAATGATTTCGTGCATAGAACAAAAGAATTGAAATTACAATAAATAAATGAGATGAGAAGTCTTGAGAGAAAAACTGGCCTACTTTGAGATTTTTATTCTTATTTGAGAGATGTTGCCCCATTTTGAGAAAAATAGATAGTTTACACGAGTTCAATCTATTTTATTCATTGTCACCCTATAACATTTTTTTTATGTTCTGGTTCCCACGAAAAGGAATATCCTGTAATGTAGTGATTTTTTATTTTATTTTATTTATTGAACAAATAACTTCCAGACAGAATAGGCTCTGGTATAAGGAAGTACATAATTATATATATATAGGTAAACATAGCATCATTCAAAATACAGGGTCGCTGATATGTATGGAAACAGGTGAATATCTCGGTAACCTGTTGTTGGATTTTTTTGAATTTATGTACTGTGTGATTTCAAAACGTGGCAGATTTGAAAATGTTATAGCCAATGTTGCCACTTCTTCAGTTATACCGGATTTTTTATTAACTTCCTTATTTTGAATAGAACACCCTGTAATTTATTGGATTTTCAGATTCTCCCTGAGGAGCTAATTCCATCGATCTATCACACTTGGGATCTAGCAGGAATGAATACATAGGTATAGGGTGTTTAAAATCTAGATTTTTCAACTTTAGTATTTTTTTGTGTCGAAACTATTCATTATCGATCAAAACCGCTCCAATGTTCCCATCTTTACTTCTGATTTACTATCTACTGACATTTAAATGAAACAAATACAAGGTGGTTCAAGATTCAGAATTCTGAATACCCTCTGTGTATCTGTTCCAATTAAATAGTCAGTAGATGGTAAATCAAAAGTGAAGATAGGAACATTGAAGCGGTTTTGATCGATAATGAATAGTTTCTATACACAAAAAAATCTTGAAGTTGAAAAACCTAGATTTTAAACACCCTATACCTATTTAATCATTCCCGCTCGACCCCAAGTGTGATAGATCGATGGAATCAGCTCTTCAAGGAGAATCTGGAAATCCAATAAAGTACAGGGTGTTTCATTCAAAATAAGGAAGTTACTAAAAATACGGAATAACTGAAAAAGTGGCAACAGAGGCTATAACATTTTCAAATCCGCCACGTTTTGAAATCACACTGTACATAAATTCAAAAAAATCTAACAACAGATTGCCGAGATATCCACCTGTTTCCATACATATCAGCGACCCTGTATATCAACAACTGTAAATTGGCAAACAAAAGAATATTTGTATATTATCAGGTAGTTTATTGAATTCAGTTAAGGCTGAATGAGTGAATCTTTTTTGTCCGATTATGGAGCTAGCGGCGTCAAGATGAAACAAGTTATATTGTCTAGTTTCATGATTATGAATTTCAGAATTCCGTATAAAAATAATATTCGACTTCAATTTTTTATTTATGATATTATATGATATTTTGAGAGTTTCAATTCTATATATTTCATCTGAAGAATACGTATTTGTTATTGCATACAATTGATTGGTTGGTGTATCAAATGGGAGACGATACAATACTTTTAACGATTTTCTATATAATGTTGATATTTTATTGAAATTATTTTTTGAACAAGATCCCCAAACATTTATTAAATAGTTGATACGACTCAGTATATGAGAGTAGAGAATCGTGTTTGCAATTTTAATATCAAGTTTGAGACATCTTCTCAATGCACCAATAATTGGAGATATTTTTTTTGTCAGAACATCCATATGTTTGTCCCACTTCAACCTGTCATCAAACCAAATACCAAGATATTTTATCTGGTCAGTTTGTTTCAAGAGTTCATTTTTTATTTTAAGGTTGAGGTAAATTTTTTGTTTATTTTTTTGGTGAAAAATCATATTTTCTGTTTTGTTAGTATTTATCGATAAAAGGTTAGATTGGAGCCATTTTTCAAACATTTTCAAGTCTTCATTTATCATATTTTCTAAATCTGAAGGATTCTTGCCTTCATATAAAAGTACTGTATCATCTGCATACATGGTATATTCACACGCTAGACCAATTTCACTGATATTTTGAACATAAAGTAAATGTAGTATAGGTCCTAAAACAGAGCCTTGTGGGACACCCTTATTGATTAATAGTTTATTTGACACAGAGTTGTTTGATTTTGTATTGATTGTCCTATTTTCAAGATATGAATTCAAAATATTTCTCACAGTGCCTCTGAGTCCCATTGTTTCTGAGTTTTCGAAAAGAGAATATCATGAGAACCAAGGGAAATAAGACAGGAATTGATGTTCTTCTTAAATTTCTGGAGGTTATATGCCTCGGGAAATACCTCTCTTGGCAATGTGTTCCAGAGCCTCGCTGTTCGTTGGATGAACGAGTCTTCAAAAAGAGATGTTCTGCAGGTCTCCAAAGTGACTATTAAGGGGTGCGAAGCCTCAACTCGACGGGTTAATCTCGCGTGGACTGCCAAGGGAGGAACAATTGTTGATATTTCAGAAGACCATCGTTCATGAAAATATCTATAAAATAGAGCAAGATCGCCAACTTTTCTACGGTGTTCCAGATAAGTGAGTGAGTTTGTGAGCGATGCATCACCCACGAGATGAATTGCCTTTTTTTTGGACAGAATACAACAGTTTCAGGGTATCTTTGGGTGCTGCACTCCAAATATGGGAACAGTATTCCAAGACGGGTCGGATCTGTGCCTTATATATCATAAGCAGCTGACTGGAAGTGAAATAGCTCCTGGCCCGAAACAGAAAACCAAGTTTTCGGGATGCACTTTCAGCAATTGATCTCACGTGATTTTCCCAAGAAAGGTAATTGCTGATAGTAATACCAAGCATCGAAATGAATGTGTTCAAAAGTATGGTTACTGCTGACAAGCTCATGTTGGGCACAGTGAGATCGGCAGTTCTGTTTGCATTGAAATCTACCAAGTTATTGGATCCCCATTCGAGAATTGTTGCCAAGTCCATATTTATCATGTCAACATTTCTCCCTCGTTGGTTTCTGATTTGCCTGGCTGGTATTGGAGCCCTGGAAGAGGAGACGGTATGAAGAGTACTATCATCCGCGAAGCTGTGTACTGGACATGGAGTTGCTTCCAACAAATCATGTAATTTTCTTGCACGCGATGAGTTGTTATACCACTTCTTCAAGGGAAACTGAAAGAGTACTGTAGAAGAACAATAAATTCGAAATCGAACAAGAACTTTGATGTCCAAAAATGTTTGTCAATCTTGGAGCGCACGAAAGGAAAGTCATATGATGATCGTGGAACATCGTGCGTACCTAGAGAGGATAGGGAGAGGAGGTAGGTGTTGGACTTTTTTGAACTTTTGGCGGTTATAAGTTCTTGGGAGTACTTCCATTGGCAGGAAATTCGAAGTTTCGCCGTTCTATAGACGGATGGAGTTTTGGTATAGTGTTGTTCTACACATTCCAAGGTAAACGGCGGAGGGATGTGCTGACTGGGTCTGTCAAGTTCGTCCACTGGTAGATATTGCTAGTGATGAAATTATAGCAAATTATATAAACTGAAAGTTCGCTGACTTTTCGCAAGGTGTTCTAATGAGGTCAAAGAGTTAGTGAGTGTGCCATCACCCACCAGACGAATCAAGTTTTTGTGGAGCACCCTTTGCGATTGATCGGACATGATTTTTCCATGAGAGAGTATTGATGATGGTTATACCGAGCATAGATATAGTGGTCTGGTGGGGATGGTGGTACCAGACATTGTAATATCAGGCATATTGAGTTCCGCCTTTCTAGAGAAAATACAGGCTTACGTTTTGGTAGCGTTGAATTCAACTAGGTTGTTGGTTCCCCAGGCTGTAATTTTCGCAAGATCTCCTTTGATAGCGTTGGTATGTCTTCGTCTTAAGTTCTTAGTTTTCTGTGGATAAATAGGAATTCTAGAAGATAACGCAGTATAGATAATACTGCAAGACTGTATCGTATCCACGGCAAGTGGTTGCTCCCAATAGATCGTTGATATGAATTGAGAACACTATTGGTGCCAAAATTGATCCTTATTGTGGAACGCCGGAATTGAGGGCAATGGTATCAGTCGATACTTAGTCCACCACGACATGGAGCGATCTGCCTAAAAGAAAACTCGATAAATGATGGCATAGCTGTGGTGTTAAGCCGCATGATGGTAGTTTGTAGAGCAGACCTTGGTGCCAAACATGATCGAATGCCTTCGAAATATCTAACGTCACAGCTAGAGGTTCCCCATCTTCTTCTGATGAAGCTTGCCAAATATGGGTGACGTAGGCAAGTAAATCTTTAGTTGATCCCTGGTGGCGAAAGCCATTTTGTCTATCATTAGAGATTCCTGAGCTTTCCAGATGTTTGATGAACTCAATGTTGATGGCTTGCTCCATCACTTTGGAGATTATTGATAACAGGGCAATTGACCTATAGCTTTGGACATGTTTTTGTTTCCTTTTTTGGGAAATGGTTGGGCTCTATCGATGGTGCACTCTTCTTGAGGATAATGAATATTGGGTGGAATTCCATCTGGACCATTAGACTTATTCTATTCGATCGACCATATTTACTCCTGATTAATTTTTTTTTTTCATTTTGCTAACACATTTGGATCGTTATACATATAATATGTAATGGAATATGTAATTTTTGTTCAAGACTTTACGTTAACATTTTTTGTACACTTTGAGACTTCATTAAACAGCTTGCACATTGTAAGTATAATTTGTATAAGAAAATGACCTAGTCGTTTCTCATATATAATCCATATATTAGTAGGGAACTACCAGGAATCCACTAATTGACAGCCGTTATTATGAATCTGAGGTTCTGGAGTAGAGAAAGCGTGTTTTACGGAGATCGACATCTGAAAAACGTCAATTTCCAACTAGCGTGAGCCTGATAAGCAATATGAAATTACTGAGACAAGTTTATAGTTTTCAACTCGGTTTTCAAGTTATAAGCAAAAAACCGCCATTGCATTTTCACTTTTTTTTGTTCCGAATGATCCATCACGAAATTTTTTTAACAAACGTCTGATTCGTGTTCAGTACCCCGAAATACTCATGGAATTGAATACATCAAAACTGCTCCATAACTTTCCTAGTCAAAATACAATTCAATTCATTGGAATAAACCTGAAAATCACCTTTCCCATAGACACCGGGGAGACACCCCTGCTGCAACGTATGGCTGAGGAGAGGAAGCTGCAGATGGAGCAAGGCAGCATAGGAGGTTCCTACTTCATGGTGCAGCTGCCTGACGGTATGATAGAATAGAATGCAATAGAATAGAACAATATTTTTCCGGAAATTTTCGTAGAATAGAATATATTACCTCCATGGTATACAAGTTATGGACACGTCGTACAAAGAAACAGAAAAGTTACAAACAAAAAAAGTTTCAGTGATAAAATCAATTAAAATAGTACTAGTTGTCTACAAGAATCATTGATCAACTCAGTGAAGTGGTTGATTTTGTAGAGACTCATTCCGACAAGAATCTTTCTCAACATTTTTTCAAAACGATCTAACGGCAGGTCTCTGATATCTGTGGGAAGAGAATTGAAAAGAGATATTTCTATGGATTTGCTCTTTTCTAATCTCCTTCTATGAGGTAGGATGTTATGCTTATATCTGGTATTATGATCATGAATGCCTGAGTGTGTGGTAAATGTATATAATTTTTTTTAACATGTATTATATTTTTATAGACAATTTGTGAGTATAAAGTCATAATGCCTGAGTTTTGGAAAAATGGTTGGCAATGTTCAGTATAATTAACCTTTGCAATGCAATGCTTCGTACAGCCGTTTACATTTTCGTAAACACCAGCAGGTGGCGGCCAGAAAGTAGGTACTGACATTTCTAGTTACATTTGTAGCATACTGTCAGGTTGCCGGTTGTACTATTGCAAGGAATTCGACGGTTTGAACGAACTGTGAACTGATAGAAACGAGAAAAAATTTGCGAAAATAAATATGAATTATCCAGTAAAGTACAAGCGCTTTCCAAATGTATTTTGACTTCTTCTGGCACTATATGTGTCCCTCATTCGATCTGTTTGAAGAGACTATCAATTTACTTGTCTTGGTTAAACCCTGAAACCATTCAGAATTTATTTACGAACTAATGAAATCAAAAGTATTCAAGTTTGAATGAATGGAAATGAATTTTACAATTTGAACGAACTCTGAACTTATAGAAACGAGAAAACATTTGGGAAAATGAATATTAATTGTTTGGTAAAGAATACGTGCTTTCCAAATGTATTCTGACTTCTTCTGGCAACTATGTTTGTCCCTCATTCGAACCGTTTGAATGAGACTATTACTTTACTTGTTCTGTTGAAACCCTGAAAGCATTCAAATTTGAATACATGGATGTAAATGATTCTGTCTATGGTTATGAGCATCAAATCAACATTTTTCCAACAATTTTAGATTTTTGATATTATCCATATCATCCGTGCTATTTTCGTAATGTGAAATGTTGTTATCATCAAGTTCCGATGCAATTTACACGCAAGGTACTTCATGCTTAACAGATGATATGTAGCATTATGCAATTGTATGAATTCCTTATAGTTTATAGTTGTATATCACGTGGTATGAACAATAAAAAGGTATATCGAAGACTGGAACCTTTGGCAGGATAATACACTATACACACACTATACACTGTTTTACCACTAACCAAACCAATTATGATTTTACGCATCCACGCGTATTTCGCTAACTATGTTAGCATCACCAGGAGGAGATTAAAATTGTTTTACTGTTAACTAGTTTGAATCTTCTCCTGAAGATGCTAACATATTTAGCGAAACACGTGCCAAGGCGTAAAATAGTTGGTATGGTTAGTGGTTTGCACTTCACAAAACGGACTCCTTCAGTTGGATTTCCTTCTCGTCTGGACATGGAGCGGTTTTCACGATGATGGGCAGGCGTTTGCCGCCCTGTTGGCCCATGGCACAGTAGAGAGCTTACAGAGGCAGTAGGGTCACTTGGCGTCGGGACCTTTGATCTTCGTGGCAGAACTTGTTGTTCTGTGGCCGAACGTCATCTAAAGCGTAATATCCGAGGCGCATTCTTAGTCCACAATTATACGAGGATGTTTTTTTATTTTATTTCCCACGAGAAAACAATCATGAAAAAATATTGAAAAGTGCTTTGGTCTTTTAACGAACATGATTAATTCATTATGAGGTAAATGAAACACCACAGTTCTATGAAAACTTTATTATGACTAACGAAAAAGAACATATAATGTTATAGATGGAACAAAACAATATAAACTGAATAAAAGTGCAAATTCTACATATTTTTGAGTATAACCAATTTTGGCTTCATTTTGTTAGTTGAAATTGGTTTCAATTCCCTGTTTGCAAATTTTATAGTATAATATATCCTAACACGTATGAACAATGAAAGTAAATAATCTTTTGGAAAATCTTCACATGGGTGTGAGAAGCTTATGGATGAACATTTCTCTTTTAGTCTATGTCCGACCTTTCCACCAATACACTCATCAAAATTTGACACGAATTCAGTTTCTAGAGAAACAAGATAATTCAGAAATTTTCAAGTTACCAAACATGTCTCTATTCTTATTCTCATATGCTTTGAATTGAGAATATATATTAGTTTGATCTAGTGTACTTTTAGAAGACCCATAATCTATGCATATTTCACATGAATGTTTGTGTCTACTTTGTGTCTACTTTCAAAGGAGAGTACCTACGACTTTTTAGTGTTTGAAAGAATTTCATAATTTTTCAAAGGTACTGTTGAAATTGTGGACAATATTTCATCAAAATCTTCCAAACAGTTTGAACCTTCCGAGCTTTGTAGGTACATGACAATGGTATGACATAGTTGAAATAAACAATAATTGCACTAATCACAGATCAAACTAATACTGCACCAATACAATTCCAACAACAATAGAACGAAATTCACAACTGCAATAACTTTATCACTCCTTCAATATTCACTCAATACTAATCCAATTCTATATCGTGTATTCCTTTTATTCAAAATCAGGTACCTACAATATAATCGACAATGGATAAATGGATTACCAGAAACAGGCAATTCAAATCAAATTATGATATGATCATTGGAAATAGGTAACTAGGTATATCCATAACGAAAACCCCAAATGGATTATTGGGTTTTGAAAAACAGGTAAATTCATGTTGAATGCTTATTTCCATATGAATTTTTCAAGTTCAGTATCTTTATTATTATTTGATCATATATGATCAATTTGTGATTACAAACACAGAATATCTATTTGATTAGGAGCGATTATATAGGACTTTCTTAGGATTCATGATGCATGAATCAATGTTTCATTTATTAAGATCACGACTTACGATATTTTTGGGACACAATGTAAACATGGTGCTGAGCCTCTCTGTACATTCGTCTGGCTCGACTGAGCTACTGCGCATCGACCGAGAGTTTCAATGCAGAAGTGGGGACGCTTGCCAAATTTCTGTGGAAGTGAACTTACTGCCTCTGTAAGCTCTCTACTGTGCCCATGGTGATAGGCTCGTCTTCTTCTTTGCCTTCGTCTACGGGCGTGAGGGCTTCGCCATAAAAATGAGAAGAATAGTTGAAGTTTCACTTGGCAGGAAAATAGTAAATTGACTGCCTCGGCCGATCGTAGCGAATTCAGCCAAGGCAGTCAATATACATTTGCTGCCGTGGGAAACATATATTTTTTGTAAAAACTTTACAAACGATAAGATTTCCACAAAATTCTCAAACACACGACATGTTTCGCTAGCACAATAGCTTCGTCAGGTGATATAATGGTACAATGAACTAACTAACCTTGGCTTGTTTAACTTTTATGTAGCCAGATGATCTAATCCTGACTATCATCATGTCTGGTAATATTCAAATTAAAAGAATTATAAAACACGGTGACTCGAAAAATGCAATTATTCAAAAATTGTAACGATGATTTAAAACGCTCCTTTGAAGAAATTGTTTTGAGAATTGATATAGGAATATTTGTGGCTAGTCCGAATCGTAAAGAAGAGTCCAATTTTGCTTAAGTTTTTGTTATCGCAGTTGGCTAAGAAATTGTTATTGACAATTTTTTTGCTCGATATAGTAGATGATTTCGAGAAGAAAAAATCTCGAATCGTCCTAGGAATACGAAAGTACAGAGGTGGGGTGGCGCAAATTGTAACACACTGTATATGTGTAGGTACGATGGAGAAGCGACAGAAGCAGCCGCTCAACATCGATCCAGGGGTGCACTCTAGTCTGAACCTGGACCAGCTGGCGCCCGGGACGCCCATAACGCCCATCCCAACTGTGCCCACGCTGCCCACCATCACCGAGGCCAAGGCCACGGAGCAGAGCAGTGGATCGTCGGGATCGCCGAGTCCTACACAGTAAATACAATTTTTCTGCAAACGATACAAAAGTCGTCCATTTCAATACCAAAATTAGCTCTTAAATTGACGTTTCTATTACTGACACAAACACTTTTAGTTCCTAGGAGCTAAAGTTGAACTTTAGCTACTAGGAACTAAAAAGGATGTACTAGAGGTAATCAAGAACAATAGTAGATTGTTTTATTAGGATCAAAAGTGACACTTTGTTTGACAAGCGAATTTTGCATTTGCGAGGCGGAGCGTTTAGCGAAGCCGAGCGAAAGCAAAATTTGCTTGTCGAACAAAGTCACTTTTGATCCGAATGAAACATGCTATTTTTTCTGCAACCGAAACAAATAACTCAAATAAATATGTGGAGTTACCACCAATACCGTGCCATATGTATGCAATGCAACAAATATTGAAAAATAATCCGTGTGGTGCGAACATTCTACCTGCATCAACAGCAGGTTCATTCAATTCTCAAGGATGTTCGAATTGTAGTTTCAATATAAATACAATCACAGAGTGACATATTTGTGTATGGACCAGGTGCTCTAATGGCAAATACCGCGTCAGTGCCAGCTATAGAAACATGACTTGGAAAATGTTAGGTTAGTGAGCACATCAACAATAAGAATAGCAATTATGTTTTCCCTTCGGTAATACAATGATTGTCGCTCGATAATCAAATGAAAGTTAACAATATCGTTGTTTGAGACAAAAAACTATTGCTTGCCGTGATTATCCAAAAACAAGTTATCCATCCCGAGAATAACGAATGAAATACAGATCAAGCAAGTATTTGAATCTTGAAGGCTTCCCTGATCAAAACAAAAATACTTAACTGAGATGTTTATAATTCCAATACTAAACTATAATAAGGTGTATTTATATCTCCAGCATGGGTATGAAATGCCAAATCTGCTGAAATTGAAAACAAATCAGGTATGCCTCTCAACCCAAATAACCAACCGTCACAATGTTGTTTATTCTTGATGACGTCCAGTAGATCCTTTTTAGTTCCTAGGAGCTAAAGTTCAACTTTAGCTCCTAGGAACTAAAATTCAACTTCAGCTCCTAGGAACTAAATATGTTGCCTAGCAACATACCTATTTTTGTGTCAGTAATAGAAACGTCAATTTAAGAGCTAATTTTGGTATCAAAATGGACGACTTTTGTGTCGGTTGCAGAAAAACAACATTGTTACGGTTGGTTATTTGGGTTGGGACGCATACTGGATTTGTTTCCGATTTCGACAGATTTGGCATTTCATATCCATGCTGGAGATATAAATTCCATTCGTCATTCTCGGGATGGATATCTTGTTTTTGAATAATCACTGCCAGCAATAGTTTTTTGTCTCACACAACGATATTGTTTACCTTCATTTGATTACCGACCCAAACACAGTGGAGTATGGAGAGAAATCATTAATCGGTGATATTATTGTTGATATGCTCACTAACCTTACATTTTCCACGTCTTTACCCTATACCTGACACTGGCGCTGTATTTGCTATTAGGGCTGACACCTGGTCCATACACAAATAGGTCACTCTGTGGTTGATTTTTTATTGGAACAACAATTCGAACATCCTTGAAAATTGGATAAACCTGATATGTTAATGAAGGTAGAATAGTCTCATCACACTGATTATTTGTTGCATTGAATACATATGGCACGGTATTAGTGGTTACTTCACATATTCACTCCACTAGTTAATTCTTTGGGTTTCCGAAAATATAGCATGTTTCATTCGGATCAAAAGTGACTCTGTTTGACTTGCAAATTTTGCTTTCGCTCGGCTTCACTTTTGATCCTAATAAAACAATCTACTATTATTTTCAACTAGCTGACTATCCCGCAAACGTTGTTTTGCTATATACATTATTTCTAGGAAATATTTTTTCAGTTGAATATCCATCAACACACCATTATTATTTGATTTTCTGCTCATTTTTAGTTTGTTTATCTATAAAAGCCGCATTGGATCAGCAATCTCAAATTTCCTAATTTTGACGAAGGAATCATAATTCCCGATCACGAAATTTTGAATAGAATCGGATTATAATTACTGAACACGTCCGCCATTTTGTTTCCTTTATCTCGAATTTTCAAATTTTGACGTAAGAATCCTAATCTTTGACCCCGGAAACCCCCAGATACCAGTATATTGAATGAAATCGAATAATAATTACAAAACTCGTCCGCCATATTAAATTCGTTATCTTGAATTTCCTAATCTTGACGAAGGAATCATTATCACCGATCCCGAAAATCTCCAGATATACAGTGTGTCCCACTTACCATGCTCACCATGGGTATCTTTTTAGATGAGTGAGAGATACGAGGTCGGTTAAATGACACCAAATGTGGAGTTTGTCAAGGCCAACTATAATGTGAAAAAATATTTTGATGAAATCTATTCGTTTTTGTTTTATACGCAAAAAACAGATTTTGATCATTTTCATGTCTCCTCCGTAACTTCTTTATTTATGAAAATATTCAAATAGGAATTTCACATTCTCATGGCAGTTTTTCAAAGTGATTTCGAAAAAAATATGAAATTTATACCAACTCTTCTAGAATTTGAGATATCAGCACCAACTTTAGTTTTTCAAATGTAGGTCATAGCTCACTATGACTTAGTTACAAATAACTTCTTTTTCTCTTACCGATGATATGTCGCAGTAATAGTTTTGTGTTGATAACAACGGAGTTATCGTCATTTATACAAAACAAAAAATTATTTGGAAGCCGCCATCTTCAATTTATGAATTTTAACGAAAAAATCATAATCTTTGACCTCAAAAACCCCCATTTACCAATTTTGAATGGAATCGGACCAAATCTTGTCCGCCATCTTGGAGCAGCAATTTTTTTTAATTTCAACAAAAATTCCATAATGTATTGTCTCCAAAATTATGAACACCTGCCAAATTCCAAGCTAATCGGAGTTATGGAATTTTTGTTGAAATAAAAAAAAATGGCTGCTCCAAGATGGCGGACAAGATTTGGTCCGATTCCATTCAAAATTGGTAAATGGAGGTTTATGAGGTCGGAGATCATGATTTTCTTTTTAAAATTTATAAATCAAGATGGCGGCTTCCAAATAATTTTTTGTTTTGTATAAATGACGATAACTCCATTGTTATCAACACAAAACTATTACTGCGACATATCATTGGTAAGATAAAAAAAAAGTTATTTGTTACTGAGTCATAGTGAGCTATGACCTACATTCGAAAAACTAAAGTTGGTGCTGATATCTCAAATTCTAGAAGAGTTGGTATAAATTTCATATTTTTCTCGAAATCACTTCAAAAAACTGCCATGAGAATGTGGAATTAATATTTGAATATTTTTATGAATAAAGAAGTTACGGAGGAGACCTGAAAATGACCAGAATCTGTTTTTTGCGTATAAAACAAAAACGAATAGATTTTATCGAAATATTTTTTCACATTATAGTTGGCCTTGACAAACTACACATTTGGTGTCATTTAACCGACCTCGTATCTCTCACCGTTGAAAAGATACCCATGGTGAGCATGGTAAGTGGGACACACTGTATACCAATTTTGAATTGAATCGGATTATAATCACAAAACTTTTCCGTCGTTTTGAATGTCCAAATTTTCACGAAGGAATCATAATATCTGTCCCCGAAAACCCCAGATACTAATTTCGAATAGAATCGGACCATAATTACAAAACTCGTCCGCCACATTGGATCTGCCATCTTGAATTTCCTAATAGTACTGAAATAAAAAGTATGTCCACCACCTGGTTCTTAATCTGTCAAAAACGCTTTCATTGAACGGAAGAAATTCGTCCCATTCTGTATAAAACATAATCACTGAAAAGCCGTTTACGTATGGAAAGGTGCATAGGTAGGAGTTTATTCACCTGCCCAAATATCATTGATACCATCGCAACCGGTTAAAAGGTATACATGCAATTCATTTTTTTTATTATATCTTTCAAGATCAACGAAGCGCCATAGAAATTTTTTTATATGAAGTACCAACATTATTTTGGTTCACATTATCAGCCCCACTTGAAACCACACTGATACCTTAAAATAAAATTATTCCGTATCGAGACACAATTCTTCTCTCACTAAACTAATCAGTGAACTGAAATATTCCTAATGGGAACTGAAAACTCTAGGTCATTTCCACAGATGTTCAAAAAGCAGAATATTATATCCTCTTGGAATCTATACATTGATTGGAATAAAGGAATACTAATGCAGGTATTTCTTTCCTTATTGCCGAATGTTAAATTTTTTTGCGACTAATTTTTGCAATGTTCGTCATTCATGCCTCTATTTTGCAAAATCCTGGAGCGTATATAGGTACTGAATTACCTACTGTAAATTAATAATTCAAATGAAGAAAATCTTTTCATTACTGTATCACATTTTAAGAGAGTTTTCCCGAAATTTTCCAAGGTTGGTCAGACGAGGGGCGCATGCCAATATTTCCACAGTGTTTTTGTTCGGCATGCAATTTGAAAACACGGAAGTCTCAGTCTCTCTTCAGTTTTTCGTTACCCTTTTGAGCCCTTTTGGCCGCTGTGGATTTTTTGCCATGAATTATTAGCGCAGTTCGCCTGAAATTCTGTATATTACAACAGCAGGCATTATAATAACGCGGAAAATCAAGAAAATTTTTCACAAAAAGTAAAGCCGCAGGGTATAACATGAAGTTCTTGTCATGTTGTAGCCATCTAGTGGCAAAGCTCTAAGGTAGGATCAAGAGATCGCGACACACTGTATGGCGCTGCCATCTATAGTCACACGTACAGACCCGTACGTCTATACGCTACAGAGTGGTACTACAAGTAAACCGCTCTGCTGACAGATGGCACTACCTGACATATACTTGAGTGGATTTTTCCACCGACCTATTCAACTGCCAGATCTCATAACTAAGAGATCCAGGTTGAACAGAGTTTCCCCAATTGTCAGCAGGAGCCAGACAGTACTGTTTTGACCCACCTGGTCTCATCAGCCGCTCTCGGTCTGCTGACAACTGGAACAACTCTACGCTTCTGGTGTATCACCCATTTCAAAGAAGCAGGGTATAACATGAAGTTCTAGTCATGTTGTAGCCATCTAGTGGCAAAGCGCTAAGGTAGGATCCTAACTCACTATCTCCTGGTCTATAAGTCTTTCTGCTTGCAGAGGCAGTGCCACCGAGATGAAGACCATCAAGAACCCTCGGCTGGAGTCGATCCAGCAGGAGGGTCGGATCCGTCGGGACTCTGACAACACGAACAACGCGAGCGAGTTTTCCGGCGGCGCGTCGAAGCTGATCCCGAGGAACGCCAGCCAGCCGGCATTCTCGACGCACGTGCAGGGGCTGCCCAAGAACGGATCCGTGCCGACATTCGACAGGTTGGTAGATAGATAGATAGATAGATAGATAGATATATTTATTGGTCATGATGTGTATACAATACATTCACGACAAGTCACAATTAAAAAAAAGTGTATACACCGTGTCCCTCCTAAAATGTCCCCCCTGTAAAAAATCAACCGCGCAATCGAATGACTTGAACTTTGGTCATCCAGTATATTTGATGATGCTCACTCAAAATAATATGCTATTGAATAAATCACAGGTATACAGGGTCACACCGAAGTGCACCTAAACTTTCCTATCAGAATAGGGACACTCATATTATTCCATATTCGAGTAGAGTTCATTATCACAAATTCAACAATGCTGGGTTTAATGGGATTTTTTCATACGACTACAAATATACGGCAAAAAATAAAACGATTCAATAAAAAATCTATATGATTAGATTTTATTAATATAACACGATTGAAATCGAATGAAAAGAAAATAATTAAAACCTCAACTGCTCAATATGACGTCCATTTTGCTGCAAACGTTTCCTAGCTCCTTTGATAACGTTCATTGTGACCCTATATGTATATCACGTTGCGATCAATTTGTGCGCATAAATTTGTGATTTTCTCTTTCATCTCTTCCATATTCATAATTGGCGACTCATAAACCTGTTGTTTCAAGTAGCCTCACAAATAAAAATAAAGTGGGGTGAGGTCTGGCGACCGAGCTGGCCAGTTGCTATCACCATCAAGACAATTGATGGTTATTAGATTTTCTCCAAACCGATGGCGAAGATAATCCTTCACGGGTCTGTAGTTATGTGCAGGACACCCATCATTTGACATCAATCGTGTTATATTAATAAAATCTAATCATATCAATTTTGTATTGGATAGTTTTATTTTTTGTCAATTCTTCTTAGTCGTTCGAAAAAATCCCATCAAACCCGGAATTGTTGAATTTGTAATAATAAACTCTACTTGAATATGGAATAATATACTGGGTGTGCCTATTCAAATAAGAAAGTTGAGGTGCACTTCGGTGTGACCCTGTATACCTATGATTTATTCAATAGCATATTTCGAGCAAGCATCATCAAATATACTGGGTGTCCAAATTTCAAGTCATTCGATCGCTCGGTTGATTTTTTACAAGGGGGACATTTCAGCTGGGACACGGTGTATATAAAATGGAAAATGGAAAAATCACAGTAACCAATTTAAGTGTATATAAAAAATCATACATTCATCAAGTAATTAAAAGGTCCATAAAAATAAAATTTGTACAAATCAGGCATCAATGTTAATTTTCTGTGATTCAGTGAGTATATCTTTCTTCACACATTCCACATATTCTTCATTGGAAGAGAATGAATTTTCGAGCAGAAATACTTTCATTGTTTTTTTTAAAATAAAATGTAATTTTGTAATGAAATTTCTGACTTCTACAAGGAGACTCTTAAAAAGAGTATAATTCAATGAGTCTTTTTGAGATTTTGTGAGCCTATATCTGGGGATACGTATACTAAACGATCCTCTGGTGTTGTAATTATGTATATCTGATTGTGTAGTCATGGAAGAAACATTTTTATGAATTTCAGTCACAGTATTCCAAATATAAAGTGAAGGGAGGATCATGATATCCAATTTTATGAATAGTTATCGGCAGGTTTCTTTGTAATTGGCATTACTCAGGACTCATTGCTTTTTTTTTGTTGTGGAAAAACTTACCCAGTTTAGCTTCTCATCCGAAGTGATACCCAAAAATTTTACATCCCTTTCCTCATGTGGAAATATGCTGGTAGAGACTATTAAATTTTGTGATTTGTCACTGTTTAATTTGAGATTGTTTGCTATAAACCAGTTCATGGCTTTATCTTCAATTTCATCAGACAAGAGATTCAATGAATCGTGATTTTCATGAGAATATATTAGTGTCAGGTCGTCTGCAAACATAACGCTACTGTATGGGGATGAAAAAGTGGGTAAATCATTATTATATATAATAAACAGTAGAGGCCCTACCACAGGACCTTGTGGTACACCAAATCTAACGGTATACTGTTTGAAATCGATTGCTTAAATAGGATTCAAAGGGACTGAGAGTGACGCCTCTGATTCACAGTCAAAGGCTTTAGACAGATCACATAGAATAATACCCATGTGATAACCTTATTCAAGAGCCCCAACTATTTTCTCTATAACACTGAGTGCTGCACTGCTTGTCGAGCGACCATTCCTAAAACCGTATTGTTGATTACTGAAAAAAATATTTTCTTCAAAGTACTTAGTTAGTTGTTGTTTTATGATTTTTTCAATAATTTTTGCAAAAATACAGATGAAAGAAATAGGTCGGTAGGTTCAATAGGTGCCACCAATGTTATTAAACGCCATATAGGTTGTCTCATAACTTCCAATCAATCAGTGCCAGTGCGGGATAGCGTCATCCAGACTGCCCATTGCTAATCGAGAACTTGGAGATCTTATTTGTTCTGTTTGATATGCTCAACCCTGATCACTTATCACTATGCAATTATGTACAGAGATATATCTCAAAGCCAATGATATTGATATATTGTGAAATGTTTTCTTTTATATCAGGAAATCGATAAAATTGATAATATCTAAGCAGTTTTTTCAAGACATAAGTATGTTAGAACATTTTTGTGATAGTCAATTTTCAACCAATAACTCGTGTATAGAGAGGGATCTAGAAGATTTGTGAAGTATCACTAGACTTTTATTTCCCCCTGTGTGCCTAATTAATGTTAATGCATACGAGGCGTTTTTGAAATGAATTCATCTGTTCAGCACATGAATATGATATAGTCTAACTGATATTCCCAAAATATCAGAGTTTTCTAATTATTCTACTCAAGAAGGAAGGGCTATTAGACGAAAATATGTAAAATTGGCTCTCGGCAGAATTGGTTGAGATTTTACTATGTTGTTGTGGAGTCATTAGAAAAATATGTGAGTTGAAAAAGTTTTATATGCTGGGTTTATGAGATATAAGCCGACATAGTACGTTGAAACGTCGTATCGTAGTAGGATTGATAAAGAAAAAAATGAATAAAATGGGAGTATAAAAAATATATGCTGTATAAATTAAGTGGATTGACCTTCGTAGTCATAGAATCCAATTTTCGTTGATAATATTATTTTTTACCATTTGGCGATGGTGTTTACTGATAATTGATAGTATAATATATGTCATTATATGTAACATCCGAATGCAATGATTGGACGTGTTTCATGTAAAATGCGAAGAACAAATCAATCCATCGTCCTTAATAAATATCAGTACAAGGGAATGAACGACGAATGGATATTCTCTTGGGTACAACAATTATATATCACAACTATTGACATTTCTTGATAATTGATTACATAGAATACCTTACATTATTGAAAGTTTCCTTTATACAAGGTGTTTCAGACTTAAATGTACATACGATACCTGTAGATAGAGGACACTTCGGTGGTTCCAAATCACCCCCCATCGATATGTCTACCGTCTTTTATAACTGAGATACAGGACGTTATCTTGATATTGGCAAAATCTTCATCTGGTTATAACTTCTGAACCACTTTGTATAATCCATCCATACTTGGTAGAAATATTTCACTTATATTACCCATCAAAACCAAATGAAAATCCGGATTAAAATCCAGGTCCGTCTTGAGGAAAAACAGAAAACTTTTCATATCTCAAAAACAACACTCTGTATGGCAAAATTTTATTGATCGGTTTTGATATTTGGAAAGAGCGGAAAAAATTAATGAAGTGACCTACTCTTTACGAGTGCGCATCCAATTTGAAAGATGGTTTATTATCATGTTTTGAAATATTCAGCTCCATTTCGAGGCATTTTCATTGAACTCATAATTCAAAACCCAATTTTTATACAGAAAAATAACAGTCTCCAAAGTTCAACATCATTTGAGTCAAATTAGGTGAACTATCGATAAATTTGTTTGTTTGACAGAATAATTTGTCGATGATTTTGAAAACTTTCGAGGACTAATTTTATACTTTACTATTTATTCATAAGCTGCGGTAAAGTAGGCTGTGAAGAAAAAATGAAAATTCGGACAGTTCATAATCACTATAGTTGCGATATTATTGGTAAAGTTATTGTAGGCACAATTATGAACACTTTGAAATGTAACAACCCAATACAAGCACCAGAAATAATTATCTCAACATTACCAATAATATCACACTAGTGATTATGACCTGTCAGAATATCAGATTTTTTTGCACAGCCTACTTAACCGCAGCTCGTGAATCAATAGTGGAGAATAAAATGAGCCCTCAAAAATGTTTGATACCATAGACAAGTGATTCTGTCACAACAAATCTATCGATAGTTGACCTAATTTGACTCTAATGATGTTGAACTTCAAAGACTGTTATTTTTTTGTATTAAAATTGAATTTTGAATTATAAGTTCAATAAAAATGCCTCGAAATGGAGCTGAATATTTCAAAACTTGATAATAAACCATCTGTCAAATTAGATGCGCACTCGTAAAAAGTAGGTCACTTATTTCATTTTGTCCCGCTCTTTCCAAATATCAAAACAGACCTACAAAATTTTGCCATACAAGGTGTTGTTTTTGAGATAAAAGAAGTTTTCTGTTTTTCCTCAAGACGGACCTGGATTCTGATCCGGATTTTTATATGGTTTCGATGGGTAATATAAGTGGAATATTTCTACCAAGTATGTATAAATTATACAAAGTGGTTCAAAAGTTATAACTAGATGAAGATTTTGCCAAAATCAAGATAACGTCCTGTATCTCAGTTATAAAAGACGGTAGACAAATCCATGGGGGGTGATTTGGAACCACCGAAGTGTCCTCTATCTTCAGGTATCGTATGTACATTTAAATCTGAAACACCCTGTATAGATTTGTTCATGATACTCAGTGACACAATTTGAAGAACACAAAAAAATATCACAATTACCAGTAAATCGGAAAAGGGGCTCTTACACATTTTATTTTACATGAGATTTGTATCTTAAACTAATATCTCCTTTAAGCTGTTGAAGTCCTGCTACAAAAAACTGAGTCACTCTGAATAGTCTTCCAAAAAGTCAACTGGAACAGCTCCAGCAATAAATTCCTGCCTCGAGCTGTCGTTTCCTTTGAAATTCAAAGAGATAGGCTGTACGCGAAAAATATTTTATTGTGAATCTGTTTGTTCAGTTTACTTATTGTATTACTTATTTCTAATCCACAGGATGAGGAAGACGTCCTTCGGAGAAAGGTTCAAGCCCACTTTGGGGCCTATTAGATCCTCGTCTAGGGCCACAGTCAATAACTCCAACGGAGACATGCGCAGGAAGCGAAACGAGTCGACGGGATCGTTTATGAGTAGGAATAATAATAGCGAGGTTAGTGTATTTTTTTGGTCATCTTGTGCAAAATCCAGATATTAATATCATATGTCTTGTATATTCATTGGAATACTTATCTATATATAATTATCTACTGCAGAATATATCTTGCTCGATATATAATTATCAAGGAAAACTCAACAAAACCGCTTATTTTGTAGTCATATTATTTATTGGATCTAATGGATTCACACACAATTTTTACTTTGCAATAAACAATGAACTTCCGGAAAGTTAGGGCCCAATGCTCCCATTGCTAGGAAAACACTGTTGACCTTTTACATTCTTGTAATCACTTCGACAGAAAGAAAGTATGGCAGAAGAATTATTCCTTGGTACCTAATCTGGAATGTACAGTTACATTGAAAGATTTTTTTTTTACTATTTTCACTTGTTCATTCTAACACAGATTGTCAATTCGAAACAGATTATGACCAATGAAAACATGAACTTTTTATTATGAAACAAATTTCTGGCCAATAGAAACATGTACTTGTGGATAACCAAGAATGGTATGTTTCTCTACATACTTGTTTGACACTTGATTTCAATGATGGCTGACATATTTCTATGTTCCACCAGATCACGGCGCTACCACACAGCACAGAATTGTTTCAGAAATATTGCAGGAATATGGTTCGGACAGATTTGAAATATTTTTGTTTTATTGCAAAACGTTGATGGAATATTCCAGAAATATTGCTAAAATATCTAAATGTCCGCCCCAAAATCTAAGATGAAATATTGCAGATATATTCGATAATATATCCGAACAATATTTCAGAAATAATATGCAATATTTAATCTTTTTTTGAGATACGATATGGAAATATTGAAAATTTTCATATACAGGGTTTCTCAAAACAACATATTATAAATTATACAGGGTGGATTAGAATTCATAATAGGCCGATGGAGGATATTTTTTTCAGATTGACTTGAATATTTTGGAATCCTTCAAAGGTATATAACTTTTCTCAATAAATTAGCATTTTGTTGTAAATGACAACTTGTGGCGGGCGAAGTGCTGATTTGGCGAAAGACTGAGGACTGAGTTACACTGACCGTGAAAAACTTCAAATGTCAAATTGTTACTCTCGCCCGTGCCTAAATCGCACAATGTAGTCAATTCTCATTGGCCGCAATTAGTCGGAGATGTATCATGTGCTACATCGTGACCAATGAAATCTTCATTATATATCACGTGACCGATTTGAACAATAAGGATTAGGAATACAATTTCCGTCAAAACCATAGATTAATAGTATTATATAAGTGGTATAATATAATATACTCAATATTATATGATTTCTATGGCCAAGACAATGATGTCAAAACTATGGTGTCAAAACTAGAGTCAAAATCATAAATTCATAACCATATAACTGAGTTCCATTGGTAAAACCAGTGCACACTCATTTATATTCTGTCATTCATCCTCGAATGAACATTTTATATTGCTGGAAAATAATTCAGTATTCAATATTTCTGCAATATTTCTTGAAGATTGCATGATTTATCCAAGCAACAATCAATGATTCCAAGCGATATCTTGAAATTATAATGCAGATATAAAAAATAAACTTGTCGATGAACGTCGCAATCATATGACAATACAAATTAGTGTCATTGCAGCAATATTTCAAAACATTGCGAATGTAACTGCAATATTGTAATATTGTGGCAATATTTGTTGAATATTTCGTGCTGTGTGGGTATGAGATGTGAGGTCAGAGTTGATAGAACTGATAAAAATACTCTCGTGTCATTTCTCGTAAGAGTCTATTGTCGCTCTTTCCATTTCATACTTCACAAGTAGATCCAGCTTCTTGATGAAGCAGATTAGTTCACTTGGTGAGTGAGACCTTGCCAAGCAGCGAAAAATTGATTCGAGCCGTTGCGGGGTATGCACAAAGTCTCTGCTGTTTCATCATCTTCAAGACGACGGCACGCCGTTCACCCGACAGCCCAAGTCTTGACATATAATATGGTGATTCAGGCGACAGTGGCCTGTAAGTTGGCCTGTAGTCTTACATTTGTTTGGTGACATTCTTTGAAGCATATATAAATGCCTTGAATGAACCAATCCTGGTAGATTCTGCAAGAAATCTGAAACTCTTCTTACAGTCCAGGTGTTCAGTACCTATATATGTTTGGAAAAACTTGGTGAGATGCCAAAGGCAGGTTCTAATTCAATGAAACTACTTGCGGCATCATCCATTGCAAGGGAATCTGCCGGTTCATTACCTTATACCAGAATGGCCAGGAATCCAAAACAGATACAATTTGTTGAGTCTTCTGATCGCGGATATTCTTTTTTGGCAGTTGTCGTAAATTTCTGCCTGAAATACGGTTGAAGGACCCAAGACAGATTGATACCTCTGTTCTAGGTATGCGACCGTACACTCGCACCAGAACCTATAGGTGTTTTTGATCTGTGAACCCAGTCAACTCTATTCAGAATTAGGCCAGTGTAAGGCAGATCGGAGGCATGATGTCGGAATGTTGTGACATTTTGTGTTCACGCTCCGTATCAGCCTGATTTGTGCAATTTGCTCAAGTCTAACTACATCATATCTTCAGAAATTTTAAGATAAAACATGCCTCAGGATTCAGGGCTATCCGACAAAATTTTGAGATTTTTTACTTCGATATTGACCTCTCGTTCTAGTAAGGTCAACTGGTCGTGTGATTGGCATTCAATCACAAGCGTCAAAAGAAGGTATACTCATAAGTATAAACATGTCGAGCAGTCAATGATATGTTGAAATATAAATAGTTTGAAGTGAATTGTTGTTTCGTAAACGATTAACGACACTGGCCTTCGGCTCATGAGAATTTGTTGCGTAACAATGAATTCTTCATATATAATCACTGTATTCTTTCAAATGAATACACAAGATTAATTATCAGAACTATTTCACTATTAAAGAGCATTATCATCCTTTATAATCTTCTTTTTGTAGGTAGATGTGGAAAGTCTAGCCTTTACTTCCAAGTTGTCCATCTCAAGTAGAAGGGAAAAACCAGCTATGGTACGTCCTATGTCTAGGAAAGATATATTTTATTCGGGTTCAGTCGTACACCTTCCTGAATTCAAGTCACAAAAATCCTTGACAAACTACAGACAGAGCATATTAAGTATACCTCAGATGAGGACATTAGAGGACGAAGGCACACGTAGGTATTAAAACTGAATTATCTTTAAACTGCTATAATATCGTTAATAAAGTGTGGAGACTTCAACTGGAATAAATTCGATAATGGGGAGGTGACGATTTTTTTTTAATCCCGACATACATCAACGATTTTATGTTTGTACCTTCATTTTGCAAGCTATATCGAGAATGTATCACTCCAGGGGTAGCTGAAACCACCCTCAACATGATTTTTTCAAATCTAACCCTATGGCTTGTGACCTCTCATTGGAAAGCTGGTGGAAAGATGAATCCAAATTTTAGTTTTTCATTCATTTGGAGGTTGCATAAAATTGAAATCTATTTTTGAAATAAATTATTTTTTTCAAAGTATCCATCGCTCAAAATGTGTGCTGAACAATTGATGGCATTTTTTTGCGACAACTGCTATTTGCTATCGTATTCCAGTGTTTTTATAGAGCCGCAAAAAGGAATTAAATATCTTGCCGTATTCACAGTTCAATACGAAAATACGTTGAAAATATAATAAACTTCGAAATTATATTTTGATTTTATGCGACCCCCAAACGTACTGCAAACTGAAATATGATCAGTACGCTGGATTCCTCTTTCAACCAGCTTTCCAATGAGGGGTTGCATTTGAAAAAAAAATTTGGGGTTGATTTAAGCTAGCCCTAAAGGGTTATATTCTCCATATTGCTCTCCAAATGTAGGCAAATACATTCAAACGTTAAGGTGTCTTGCGAGTTTTCAGAAAAATCACTCGTTCCCTCAGTAGCTAATTCATTCCAGGCAAAGTCCCCACACTCTATAATTCAATCACTGTATACCGGATGTTGAAGGGCGACACTTGCACCTTGCTTTTGTTTATTGTTAATGACTTTTCGATCTATGAAACCAGAATGAAACTCAGCACTGTTGAAGGCGTCAAATGTCACATTTTTATAATCATCTTGTTGCCGGTATTTAACTATGTTGACCAAAATGTGTATGTCGGTGCTGTTAGATTTGAATTATCATTTTTACTTTTTTGAGTTGACGTTAACTCTTTATGTGATGGTAGTGTTGGGGACTCGGTTGGGGATCACTTTTATGGTTACATGATTTACCCTATTCAGGCTAGGACAGAAAAGAAGGCACTTCATACTTCGAGGAATATTAAGTTGGGTGAAACGGGGCCGGTGTATAGGATCAGAAACGAAGAGCCGAGTAGTTATCAACGGGAAGGCAGAATAGGAACACCGGCCTCGGATTGCTTGTTCTCCTCTCAATTGAATTTTCAATAAGATTCCTATCAAAATATCTTGTACGCTTGTAGTGATTGGTGTTGGTATCTTGTTCATTATTAGGTGTCATGAAATTCAACTGGTGATTCAGATTTTGATTTATACAACTATTAAGTCTGCTTACCAGTGGTGGTTAGATTGCAATGTAATTAAAATACGTGTCTATCAATGGGAACCTGATACATAAAATACCTGCTCACTCATAATGATTGGAACCTTTGGCATGATAATCACACTACACTGGTAGTGTAAAACATTAACATAACGGTTTAATTGTTTTATTGGCGAAACATTATGGTGTGTTTTTACTTTTGGCTGTATGATCAATTGACATTCATCATACAGGGCGTGGAAAGAAATTCTGAATTGAGACTATCACGAATCTGCGATTAGAGGGCTATAAAAATCACAAGTTTCCATCGTTCAAGTTTGAACCCCCTGATTGGGTATGAAAGTGTGGAAAAGGAATATTCTCAGATAAATTATGAACATACAAAAATGGATATATATTTGTATGAAGCAATACAATGATGTGATGAGAATATCTACTCTTTTTCAGTTTATTCAATAGAAAACAACTACTGGTGTGAATATCATGATTTATGAAGCAATAATTGATATTTCTGTAACCATTCAGAATTATTAACTGGGAGTATTAGTTCTCTAAAAGTGTGAACATTGAAATTTAGAAAAAAAGGATATCAGTAGAAGAATCTCAGTTCAGGACAAAAAGCATAGTGAGAATTTCAACTGTCTTCATTGATCATAAGGAAGAAAGAAAGCTCAATGTCATTTCCACCCTTTTTTAATGATGTGCTTATTCAAGGGGACATGTTTCGGACTCAGGAAAGTCCATTTTCAGCCCAATTAAGAAGTTACTACGAGCAGAGACAAGATATGAAAATACATGCCAGAAAAAACAAAAATCTTTTACTTACATGGAGGTGAAACATTCTCAAAGGTTGGTGCCAATACCCAACATCATAATATCATTGTTAAAATATTTTGAGAAAAAACGGGTTTTCATAAACATGAAGCTTGACAAGACAATGCAAAACAATGCTCACAAAAAACATTATTATTTGAAAGAAAGCGCCACTATTAAATGCAAAAATCAATAAAATTGATGGGGCAAAACGCCAAACACGTGTTAAATCCTACCCTAGCAGGTTAGAAACAATGACATGAGTCAAAGTCTTGAATGACATATGACATGAGTCAATATCTTGAAAGACATGACATTATCATGAGGAGAACACGGCAACCACCATAAAATAAAGTAACCACTAGGACGACAGCGGTCACAAGTAGGTACATCATAAATTTTAAAATTCCAACAGAAATGACAATGAGATAATGAGAAACATGAAGGGACATTTCTACAAGCATGACTTAAGTTGAATCGGAAAATGAGAAAAACTCAAAATAATAAAAATATTGAGACCAAGACAGGTTTCAAACAACATCTAACCAATCATGGGTTTTGGTGAACTCTAAAGCATTAAAACATTTTATACAGCTAAATTTATTTTTCTTTTCATTGAGAGATGTGACAGAATTACTGTTCATTGAAGATTTCCAATAGATTCAATAAAGCGCCTTTCTGACAATCATGTAAAATGTTTAGATCTTGATTGATATCAAAATTGTGTTTATATAGAGTTCAAAATATGGTTTCTAGAGTTCGAAATATGGTTTCCAAAAGAACTATTGGTATTTTGCTCATCTGGAAATAGGTGGGGAATTTTTAAAATCTTCTATGGATTTAACATGTTCGATAAATCTTGTCAAAATTCTTCTACCGCTTTGCCCAACATATTGTGCATTGAACTCGTTCTCAAGCTAGTATATATTGGCATTACCCCTGACGTATGGATAAAAGATGACTTTGGTAGCTTTTGTGAAACGAAATGCAAAAGATTGTGCTCGTGATTTCTTCCACACCTGGTATATTTGCTTGATATATATATAAACCAAATTAAGGAAACGATAATCAAATATTTGCTCTCAAAAGTAAAGTGATACATCCCTACTTTTAAAAATCATCAGAAGTCACTTACCACCTAGTCCATAGTCGATAATTGGTATTCTAAATATATTTTAAATTGATAAATGAAATATTAGCAACTGTTGATTCAATTCGCACTGAATGTGTGCTTTGCTAGAGAATTGTAACAAAATAGTCCAGGCTCACGAAAATCTTGTATGTACAGGGTGATTTAAAAAAAAGTTTCCACATTGCTGGAATAGGTAAAATACTAAAGAATAAATTATTTTTGCTAGTTAAAAACATTTTGTAACGGCATCCGTACCTATTCAAGATACGAGCTGTTGGGAAAAAATGTCTCTCATACATTTTTCACGATTATGCCGAAACTACTGGACAAGTTGTGATGAAATTTTGTCTGGATATATTTTGGTAGCTGACATACAGTGTGTGCGATCTCAACCTGCAACACCCTCCTAGTTTTGGATCGCGTGGACCAAGTTTAAAAAACAAAAATTCCATAATGTAGAACTCAAAGAGCTCTATTCGAAAATGTGGACAAATCTGAAATATTCAGATTTTCAAGGTCTACTTTTATTGTTTGTTGATGGGGTCAACATTTCAAAAACGACTATTAGGCTTTTTTCCCTATTCCCTATTCGTTTGAAGCATAGCTGAAATATCCCCATACAAAATGTGAACGCTATATCTCATATAGGGTGTTAGTTATTCGATGGCAGATTTTGAAATTTTTAATTTTTTGATTCACTGTATCAAAATTCAAGGCGTGGTAGTCATCTAATGATGGAGGAACACATCGAATACTTAGATACAAAGTTTCATCGTTGTAACTTTCACAGGAAGATGTAGGTCGAGTTGACCTATATATACAGTGTGTCCCACTTACCATGCTCACCATGGGTATCTTTTTAACGGTGAGAGATACGAGGTCGGTTAGATGACATCAAATGTGGACTTATGTGAAAAAATACTTTGAAAAAATCTATTCGTTTTTGTTTTATACGCAAAAAACAGATTTTGATAATTTTCATGTCTCCTCCCGTAACTTCTTCATTTATGAAAATATTCAAATTTCACATTCCCATGGCAGTTTTTCGAAGTGATTCCGAAAAAAATATCAAATTTACACCGAACTCTTCTAGAATTTGAGATATCAGCACCAACTTCAGTTTTTCAAATGTAGGTCATAGCTCTCACTATGACTTAGTTACGAATAATTTTTTTTTCTCTTACAGATGATTTGTCGCAGTAATAGTTTTGTGTTGATAACAACGGAGTAATCGTCATTTATACAAAAACAAAAAATTATTTGGAAGCCGTCATCTTGAATTTATAAATTTGAACAAAATAATCATGATCTCCGACCTCCAAAGCCCCCACTTACCAATTTTGAATGTTATCGGACCAAATCTTGTCCGCCATCTTGAAGCAGCCATTTTTTTTTTTAATTTCAACAAAAATTCCATAATGTATTGCCACCAAAATTATGAACACCTGTTAAATTTCAAGTTAATCAGAGTTATGGAATTTTTGTTGAAATTAAAAAAAATGGCTGCTCCAAGATGGCGGACAAGATTTGGTCCGATTTTATTCAAAATTGGTAAGTGGGGGTTTTTAAGGTCGGAGATCATGATTTTTTTGTTAAAATTTATAAATTCAAGATGGCAGCATCCAAATAATTTTTTGTTTTTGTATGAATGACGATAACTCCGTTGTTATCAACACAAAACTATTACTGCGACATATCATCTGTAAGAGAAAAAAAAGTTATTTGTAACTAAGTCATAATGAGCTATGTCCTACATTTGAAAAACTGAAGTTGGTGCTGCTATCTCAAATTCTAGAAGAGTTGGTATAAATTTCATATTTTTTTCGAAATCTATTCGAATATTTTCATGAATAAAGAAGTTACGGAGGAGACATGAAAATGATCAAAATCTGTTTTTTGCGTATAAAACAAAACCGAATAGATTTTATCAAAATATTTTTTCACATTATAGTTGGCCTCGACAAAGTCCACATTTGGTGTCATTTAACCGACCTCGTATCTCTCACCGTTAAAAAGATACCCATGGTGAGCATGGTAAGTGGGACATACTATACAGTGTGTCCCTAGACCAGTGGGACAGTTGAATATCTCCTGAACCAATAGGAATTTTCAATATATTATAATTCCACATCATATCGCATCATGAGTGCTAACTTCAGGAATAAATTAATTTTATACGAGGAGCCCAAGGAAGGCTCACAAAATCGAAAATCAATTTTTTCAAATGGAACACCCCATATATTTCAACATATCTGAATTCTCATCCCTTTAGGCTAATCAGCAGTTTTTTATTTTTGAAAATCCGACAAGGCGTTGCCAAGTTATACTAGTGTTTCATGAAATGCAGACATTTCCTTAGACAAACCCATCATTCATACTACTAAGAATTTATGGAATTATTCAAGACTGTTGGTAGTCGGTAGCATATACTATCATATAAACTACTCATCTTCTTCGAAAGTTGATTCAAAATTTTTCATTTCATGATTTCTTGTAACGTTCTCCAACATTCTCGGTGTTATACTTTGACAAACACTCAAAATTCGATTTTGCAAATCCTCCAGATTCGATGGTTGAGTACGGCTCGGAACAAACGGACCAATAAAAAGGCCGGCTCATTCGCCAGACTTGACGCCCTTAAGACTTTTACTTGTGGGGGTATCTAAAATCAGAGGTCCATGATACTCAACCATCGAATCTGGAGGATTTGCAAAATCGAATTTTGAGTGTTTGTCAAAGTATAACACCGAGAATGTTGGAGAACGTTATAAGAGATCATGAAATGAAAAATTTTGAAATGTGCCTTTCAGCAAACAGAAGGCAATTCGAACATTTATATTAAAATGATTGTGCCTAATTATTCGTCAAGTCAGTTTTTCTTGTTGGGACTGTTTTTTTAGTAGTTAATTAAGTACAGTTGAATAAATAGTTTACTGCATTTTTTTTATTTGCATTTGCTGATGATGAAATTCACATCTCTCTTTCACAGCTATTGACCATAAGCAATCAAACCACCAATGGGATATAAAATCATACATATTGTAGGGTGCACTATTTGAAAAATTGATGTGAAGAAAGTTTGAATTTCGTGAAAATCATATAACATTTCTGACCACCCTGTATAACTTTCGAAGAAGATGGGTATTTCATATGATAGAATATGCCACCGACTACCAACAGTCTTGAATGATTCTTAGTAGTATGAATAATGGGTTTGTCTATAGAAAAAATGTCTGATGCATTTCATGAAATACTGGTATAACTTGGCAACGCCTTGTCGGATTCTCAAAAATAAAAAACTGATGATTAGCCTAGAGGAATGAGAATTCAGATATGTTGAAATATATGGGGTGTTCTATTTGAAAATATTGATGTTCGATTATGTGAGCCTTTCTTGCGCCCCTCGTATAAAATTTAGTCATTCCTGAAGTTAGCACTCATGATGCGATATGATGTGAAACTTTAATATTTTGAAAATTCCTATTGGTTCAGGAGATATTCAACTGTCCCACTGGTCTAGGTACACACTGTATATGTATGTGTATATAAAATCAATACCAATATTATGAAGAGGGAAGATTTGTTTGTTTTTGTTCGTTTGTGATAGGCTCCGAAACTACTTGACCGATTTGAAAAATTCTATCACCATTAGAAGCTGACATTATCCCTAATGAACAAAGGCTACTTTTCAACGGCTAATAGGACAACGACTAGTAAGAATCTAAGAATCCTTCGCCTTACTTATCTTTTCCACATAACTTCTAAACGGCTGAACCAATTAGGTTGACATTTCATGTGGATATTTCGATGGTTTCCTGGATGATTTAAAAATTCAATTGGATGCGGTAGGTGGCACTGCTGTCGGTACGTCAACTACTAAACGACGGATTAGGTTGAAATTTTGAATACGTGAAACATCAAAAAATATGTACTGTTAAAACGCGCATAGCTCAGAACTGCAACAAATTCAACATCATTAGTATATCTCCTTGCAGCCTTTGGAAAGTGTTTGTCATTCGATTTCTGATATGTGTGATAGCACATTAGCAATCAGGACGATTTTCAAAGTTACTGTGTGGTGAAGTGTGTGAAAAACGGTTATCAACTTGAGTTTTCAAAATGGTGAAACTAAATTTTTGTTTGATTTTTTTGGTTGACCTAGACTAGAGATACTTTCCTGTAAAACTTACAATGATGAAACTTTGTATCTAAAAGTATTCTATGTTTTCCTCATTCAATGAACACCTCACCGATTATATCAACTCCGTAGATTTTTTTACAGGGCGAAAAAGAAGCGAAAATTTTGAAATTTGGCATTGAATAACACCCTATACAAGATATTCTGTTCAAATTTTGTATGGATGTATTCGAGATACGCCTGAATAGAATGAGCTAGTCACTGTTTCGAAAAAAAGCGTAATAATCGTTTTTGAGATTTTGACCCTTGGAAATCTGAATATTTCAGATTTGTTCACATTTTCGAATAGAGCTCGTTGAGTACTATATCATGGTATTTTTGTTTTTGAAAAACGGTGAACAGGTTCCAAATTATGAAGGGTTGCACACAATGTATATATGTCATGAATTTGTTTTTATATCTGACTCATAGTTACACGATTCTTACCGAGGAATTTTGAACATAACTTTTTCAAGTTCTGATTTTCTAGTCCAAATTTCATATGAACTTGAACATCAGTCAATTTTACATCAAAAAGGAACCCATGGTGAAACACGATACTGCGTGCCGTTTTCGGAATATTTTGATATGAATACGGATGAAATTTCTCACTGAGCAAACCCAACTTATTTACCTATCCTAGGAACGAAGCCACCTTTTTTTCTTAAACCTGTCTTGAAAAGGGGAATGATGATTCTAAACACTTTATTTTTGAGAAGAAAAACGTGTTCCTTTTATTAGATCGGTTTAAAATCTGTACACACTATGTTTTCTTCCAGCTGGTGATATATGCCCTTGTCTAGTCCTGCCAGAAAGTTTCACATCTGCGCTTGCTCAAATGTTAGATATGAGTCTGCTGAAGAATCCAGTGTTTCTGCTCATAGGCATTTCAAATGTATTCGGAATGGCTGGATTGTATGTTCCATTCGTTTATCTTGTGGCTTGTGCACAAGCTGATGTAAGTAAACTTTTCAATTAATCATATGATTCCAAACATTTCTTTATCTCATACAGTGTCCGTAAATGATAGGGTTGATGGAGTGAGCCAAAATAATATTAGAACTTCATAATAAAAATGAGCTACCGCACTTCCTTACGGGGTTATTGACCTGGAGAGTTTGAATAAGAATAGTATATTACATAACAAGAGTTGTAAAACGCATATTACGCACGAAGTAGAGAGAGTTACACACGATGCCGCATAGCGGCGAGTGTGTAACTTCACAAGTGCGTAATTGCTTTACAACTCGAGAATTGTACTATACTTTTTCTACGACTACACTATATTTTCTTCCGGATAGTGTAGATATTGTATTAAGGCACAAATAACGAATACCAATATAAAACGTCTCCCGTCACTTAGCCAGCTGCATGAAAAGTTACAAATCACAATTCTTGTGTTTGTTTATTGATACATTGCAGACCGAGACATTTTCCTCAATTCGAACTGAAATGGAGCCGTTTTTCATATCCAAACAGCTTTATTAATAGGTAGCAAAAAACATATTGTATAAAAATATAAAATTAACATTCATAATGGTTATTTATTTGTAACAGTGCAGCACGAGAGATTCTGTAATCGTTATTGAAAATAATAAAAAAAAGTTATCCAACTGCGCTCTGGACCAACGACCTTTGGGTTCGCCCCAGCCAGCGCTTCCAACAACTGAGCTATCACCATTTCTCCGTATCAGTAGATATTTTATAAATATAATTTCGAAGATTGTTGTTTTTTAATTATTCCTGTTATTTAAAGAAAAAGGAATTCATCAATTCAATGTTGAGTATGTATGTTATTTGTGAAATTTCGTTCAACAGGAGCATTCTGCAGAAAATAATTGATCTGTTCAGTATTTTTGATTTTTTATGGAAATGAGATATGTTGCTATATTAATATTATGATTGATATTTAGTCATTTAGTGTTGATCGTAACATGGAATATATCGACAAGAGTGATGATGATTTCATCGAATTTGATAATTCTTGAAAATATACTAGAGGGATATTTTCCGAAAATGCTTACCTGATGCTTTCGGTTTCGGTGGATAGCTGGCGGATTAATTGATAAAAAGATAAGTACCTACCCACCTAGCTAGTGACATTGATGAAATTGTTAATAATTGTTATTGACACATCGCCTAAGCAACAAAACAAAGTCATCTATCAACATACCTATGAAAATCGTGCGATCGCTCTCTTTACGCACACGTGTGTAAGGGGAAGCTTACTGCCATTGTTTTGTGTACAATATCCATCACTTACAGTAGTAGTCGTATCAAAATAAAACATAGGCGTATGGGATATTTGCATTTGGAAATGTATCATGAAATTGTTCCCGGCAGCTTTGAAGTGAATTTGTCCACGTTCCATCAGGATTACGAGTACTGAAATGTGCCATCAGTAAGAAGGCATCTATTTCACCAAAAAAAAAACACGTTTAATCCTGGAAGGAAAATAAGGACATGAACAATAAAAACGATAGGTTAATTATTGGTCTTATCTTTTTACAACAATGAATTGGTGATGTAGTTTTGAAGAAAACTGTTTTTCGCGGTCATAATAATTGTGGGTGAAATAATCAGATGCAAGAACAATAAAATGAAATCAAGAACCTTATAAACTATCAACAAATCCAGGAGAAAAGACAACAAAACGCTTTGACAAGTTAACGGGCCAATCAAATCGCGAAGGATGTGAACCACAGAACGTAAACACTGGAAACTACAGCCATGAATGATCCAAGGTGCAAATATGACATATGATGATGTTACCTGAGTAAATATGATAACAAAAATGTATTGTTGGTTGCTTACGAATAAACGGTTGCCATGGTATCAATGATAATCGGGCAACTAAATTAACGCATACTAATGCTCCTTTCGAAATGTAAAAAGCTGTTCAATGATTATGTTTTACACAGGATGGGACAACTTTTTTCCGTTTAATGGAGGAATTTTTGAAATAGCTGAGAAATTTGACATTTTGCTTCCACCGTTTGATTCCTTCTTTTTTTTTCTACAAAAATAGTAGACATTATTATAATCGATATCTTGTTCCGTTTAAGAAAAAATCGCATTTTGAAAACATATACATCCCAATTATTTCAAAGGTGATGAAAACTTGATATATTCAATAACATCATGGTAGTTGCAGGGCTGATAGAGTGAGCCCATATAATGTTAGTACTTCATTTGAGAAAAATGTCTATGGCACGTCGTCACAGAAAGTTTCTGCAATGTTTTCAAAATGCGATTTTCTCTAAAACGGTACAAGATATCGATGAAAATAAGTTTTACCATTTTTGTACAAAGTCGATGAATAACTCAAACGGTGGAAGCAAAATGTCAGGTTTGTCACCTCTGTCGAAAATGCCTCCATTAAACAGCCGTTTGCATATCGAAATTTCAAGGTCAATAACTCCGTAACGAAGTGGGATAGACATTTTTTTTATATAAAGTACTAACATTATTTTGTTTCTCTCTATCAGCCTTATCATTTTCGACATGACTTTTCCGGACACCCTGTAGGTATATAAAATTCTCCAGTCCCTGTCACGGTGTTTGTCGTCAAACTCCTCCGAGACAGCTGGACCGATTTGTATGAAAATTTTTGTGCGTATTCGGTAGGAATGAAAATCGGTCGTAAGCTATTTTTTGAATTGAAAATTCAGAATGGCGGACGAGTTTTGTAATACGATTTTATTCAAAATTGGTATCTGGGGGTTTTTGGGGTCGGATATTAAGAACCTTCAAGATGACGGATCCAATATCGCGGACGAGTATTGTGATTATGGTCCGATTCTATTAAAAATTGGTATCGGGTGGTTTTCGGGGTCGGAGATTATGATTCTCTTTTAAAAATTCAGGAATTCTAGTAGGCGGATCCAATATGGCAGACGAATTTTGTAATTATGATCCAATTCTATTCAAAATTGGTATCTGGAGGTTTTCGGCGTCGGAAAAATGAAACATGCTCTTATAGATAACCAAACTCGAAGCCAATTTGAATATTAGTAGAAAATAGATAGTATATATTAAGAAGGAATATTCTCAGATATAATTATGAACATGAAAAAATGGATATATATACTACGCTTTTATAGATAACCAAACTCATGAGAAGTTAGTGAGAAAATAAAGAGTAGCTAGTATAAATAGAATAGATTAATAACTAAACAAAGACGCTTTCATGGATAGCCAAAGTAAAAATAAGTAGAAAATGAAGTAATAACAGTGTGTAGAGAAATATTCACCTAAAATTCGAATAAGTTTTCTCAAATTATTAATAGGGCAGCTGGTGGTAGCTTAAACCATTATTCTCGACTAACTTTATTCCACTAAAGTTGGTGGAAATATATTTTGTTACAAAGAACGGAAGTAGTATTGTGTAGTATTATTACAATTCACATCCATTATATTGTTAGGTCCAATAAACCACCATTAACTTACTTTAGTTTGCTTTAGTTGAACAAAACAATAATAACTAATGTTGGTAAAATTATATTTTATCACAAGAAACTCGAAGTAGTATTTTAGTATCAAAGAAATTTTCTCACGCAATATTATTAGGCTAAATGGAATTCAAAAATGTCCGGAAATTCGTTTAGTTGCAATGGAAACGATACAAAATACAGGATTCTAATTGGTCTTAGATTTAGGGTGTGAAATTTTCAGATGAAAAAAAAATGACTGCTTTTGTATTCGCAGGGCATCGATGCGAGCCAAGCGTCGTTCCTTCTGTCGATCATTGGCATCACAAACACCGTCGGTCGCATCGCCTGCGGCTACTTTGCCGACTTCCCCCAAGTCAACGCGTTGTTCGTTAACAACGTCTGCCTGATCATTTCTGCCGTGGCCGTGTCGTTGACTCCGATCTGCCACACCTACGGGTTCTACATCGCCATTTCGATAATGTTCGGCATCGCAGTGTGTAAGTATTCGAGGGAATTTAGATTTAGTGTTGTCGCAACTCAACGCGTTGTTCGTCAATATCGTCTGCCTGATCATATCCGCCGTGGCCGTGTCGTTGACTTCGATCTGCCACAGCTACGGGTTCAACATCGCCATTTCGATAATGCTATCGGCATCGCATTATGTAACTATTCGAGGGAATTCACATTAAGTGTTGTTATTCGCCGACTTCTCGCAAGTCAACGCGTTATTTGTCAACAACGTCTGCCTGATCATATCTGCCGTGGCCGTGTCGTTGACTCCGATCTGCCACACCTACGGATCCTACATCACCATTTTTATAATTTTCGGCATCGCAGTGTGTAAGTATTCGAGGAAATTTAGATTTACTTAGTGTTGTTATTCGCCGACTTCCCGCAAGTCAATGCGTTGTTCGTCAACAACGTCTGCCTGATCATATCTGCATGCGGTGGCCGTGTCGTTGACTTCGATCTGCCATACCTACGGGCTCTACATTGTCATTTCGATAATTTTCGGCATTGCAGTGTGTGAGTATTCGACGGGATTTAGGTTTGTCCACTGAGCAAAGTGATATTTCGAGATATTGCAGCAGTTTTTCAATGTTATGTGTGATGGTACATTTGCAAGGTCGCAACTATACTGAAACGGAAGTATTTATATAAATCATTTCAGCAAAGTTGCGTCCATCGGGTGACCAAAGTGACGTCATATGACCTGATGAATTACGTGAATCAGCTAGAACCTAATAACGTCATACTACTTACCCTTACTTACGTCACTCACTCACCTAACGGTGACGTGAAAATGACGTCGAAATCAAGTTTAAATTTGGTAATGAATCGTGAAAAAAAATTCCTCAAACATAGACCATGGACCTTTGAAGATTTCTAATTGATTGATTATGCACTATCGTCACTGGTTGGTGGTCCCTCGGGTGGCATGTCTATTAAATCGTCTTTGCAAATCTGATTATCATTTTTTCATTTCTCTTGTAAGTGCATTGACAATCTCTAATGAAACAAATCAAGTACTTGGAAGGTGTATACATGAAACAATCCCCCACGCAGAGTGGAGTTGGCTGGTGTTAGCCAGGGAGAATCTGTTCTATGAATCCTGACATATATATGTGTCCCTTCTCCTGAAGAAATTCTCGTTTCAATAAATAATTTCCGAGGTGAACCCAGTTAGGTCAAGGGTAAATATCAACATTGGGAAAATGGAAATTCACAATTGGCAAGGGATAATAAATACAAAACCCTTTTTTTATTTTCTGTCGCATCAGACAAGGCGCTCGCTGATCGTATATATAGGCCGCCCGAGAGGCTGATTGGCATATCGGTCGATTCTGGGCATAGAGTTTCCTACACTGCACCTCAACTTGAACACTGCCACACAGAAGTGGTGTTAATCTGGTGAACTTCGAGACATTTTTCGAGCTTATTACGGATCGATTGGGAGCTTCCTAAAAACGTCAGTTGACTCATATATATTAATCCATGTTCCGATAGATTCCATGTTCTGATCTGATAGAAATATGACTTCTAGCGACCTCACTGCCCTGAGCATTGCATTTTTAGAACGCATTTGATACTTTGGTGATGTATTCATTGATTATAGGTGTATGTCATGACACTTTTCGTGGTGATTCACTACACGAGAGCATACATTACCATGGCAATAATACATAAGTACGGATAACTTTGTTTTATAGCACCTCTAACCGTCCTATTCGCCACACCTACGAAAACACTACAAAACACCAGACAGGTGTGTGTCATCACAGGCCTGATAATCTTCTTCTAGATCAAGAGCTTGTTATCCTATGTTAGCAAGGAATTTTCCACCATAAAGGATACAAGCTCTAAGTCCAGTGGTGGCTTGTTCGATGGTTTGCTCTGGTTGATGAAAAGTGTGTATAAAATATTGGTTTGAAGTATTACTTTATGTTAACGTAAATATGAAACTATAGTAAACGCAAGTGAACTGTATTGTCAAGGTATGAAGGTCTAAAATAGCTTACCTCGATTCCATCTGCTCACCGGCGTAGTACCATCAACCATCTCAAATGGTGAATATTCACTGAGTTGAGAGACAGGAATATTTCAAAAGGAAAGGTGGAAGTAATTTGGGAAAGTGATTAGGAAACAGTGATTCGTATATTCAAACTTTGATAGGTCACGACACTGATCGAAACAAATTGTTCTATATATTTTTCTAACTCGAATTCAACAAACAAAACTTGAAGTACCGGGCAGGTTTTACTAATAATACGTACTGCTGTTTGTCCAAGCACAGCACACTCTCGTGCCATTTACGATAAGCCCGTTTTTTCGTTCACCTCTGACTTGCGCCTCAGGTGAATATTGTGATCACGTTAATTAACGACAAGTATAGACAACCCATACTACAAATTCGTTAGGCATCAGCCAGAAGAAATATTGAACATATTGAAGTCATACCGATATATAAAACTGGAAAAAAATATGACCTTAATAACTACAGACCGATTATTTATTAGCGATTGGATTGAAAATGAGAACATAAATTCAATATTACTTAGGAAAATAGTGGATATTTATTTTTTCATATTTCTTGTCAAGTGTGCTATATGGATAGCCCTGACGCATATTCTTTCGCAATTATTTCTTTCGAGTCTTCTTTGGAAAACAAAACTTTCAGGTAATTACAGTAACATAAGCCTTACCAGCAGACAGTAAAACTTTCTTTGTTTTCGTTAAATTTCAGTTTGATTTTATGTCAAAATAATGTATAATCGAAGTGAAAGTGAATACCTGAGTGTTTTGTTTGCCAAAGAAGATTGGCAAAATATTATGCATCATGTCTATCCATGGCACACTTGACAAATGTGAATAAATAAATATCCACTATTTCTCTATAAGTAACATTGAATTCATATTCTTATTTTCAATCCAATCGCAAATAAATTAGTATCGTTAGATTCGTAAAGAAAACCTTTTTTTGGAAAGTGCTTGTCAAAACACGGTTGCCATTTGAAAATAATAATTAGACAACCTCCGTTTTTCCTATCATACTTTGTGATAATAATTTTCTGATATCACCTGAGGTCCTTAGATGGGTTAACGTGATCATGGCAATAAATATCAAAAGTGAATGATAAAATGAAGTAGGCGTAATAACTTCTGAAAATGCCATATTCTGGTCTAGAATTGTCTCTGAATTTTCTCAGGAATTCAAAAATGTTATGTTATAATATAACAGGGTGTTCATTCGAGAATAAACTAATACAAGAAAACCTCGCTCTACAAGCACGATCTACTTATCTAACTTTTTATACGCATCTAACAATAACTCCTGGTAGCGAGCCCTACCTAAATCTCAACTTGCCTCTTAATGGGTGTCCAGAAATTATGCGCAAAAAATCAAGGGGGTGATTCTACATGATAAAATGAGAAATTTATTCCATGTGTATGTACGTGGGTCCGGAAATGCATAGTTTTCAACATACAGTGTGGTGAACTTTAAAAAAAAAATCGTTTTTTATGAATATCTCAAATGTCCTTCCACCGATGTTCTTCAAATTTGGCAATGATATTTTTCATCATGAGGTGCTGATTTGGCCCAATTGAAATTATGAAATTCAGTGGCGTTTCGGGGGGCAACCTACCGAATATTATTGTCAATGAAATGATTTTTTTCGAAATCTGTAGTTTCATAACCTATTGTCCAACTAAGAATACAACATTTTGGTCTCTTGAATTGTTTTTATATCTTGCTTCAAGTTCATGGAAAAAAATAAATACCAATTTATTGCATAAATTTGTGCCAAAAAAATCCTTCAGAAAATGGGGTGAAAATGAATGCGTGATCCATGTCCTAAAATAAGAATGATAATTCATTTTCATCAGATATCTCATGGTACATGTTTAACACACTCAGCACTCTGTATATATTGAGAACTATGTATCAATACGGTCCAGGAAGGAGTAGTTTTCAATAATACAAAGTGTGTCGAATATTATTTTTTCCGAAGTTTAACACACTGTATCTTGTAACTATGCATTTCCGGACCCACGTGTATATGAAATAAATTTCATGTTTCCTCATGCAGAATCACAATCTTGATTTTTTGCGCATAATTTACGGACACCCTGTATAGTCCGCATACTAGCCCAACTTGCCCATGAGCAATAATTACATAATCAAATTGAATGAAATCATACTGTGTCAGTAACTTGTTTTCTGCATCAACCTTACTTAATGGCTTATTGTTTACTGTTTTCTTTCCTTTTTTTCTCATTCATTGTATTAATTAGGTATCAACATTTGTTATATTTTATATAAAATCAAACTCTTTGTTATAAAAACTGTAATTTTTTAGAAACATTAGGTGTTCCATTTGAAAATTCAAGTCCGGTGCCATTTCCGGTGAAACCGGAAGTGACCGGGCAGTGGAAAATATGCGAAAATTTTCCTTTTGTCTAATAGATTCGTTGACCCCCAGTATGTTTATATATCCCGATTATAAACAAATATGTTTCCATACTATAATGACTCATTATCATGTTTCAACACGTGAGAGTTACTTTATTCATGCACATACATACATAAAAAATCTCGATTCATTAGATATATAAAATATATCTATGAAGAATGTCAATTCTCTGGCAATAATTCCGCTGAGTTTACCGCCATCCTTTCTCCTACTTTCATCGTCAATATCTTTCGTTAGCGAAAAGCTATCATATTGCAGATTTCGTTGGTCTGTTGAGATATAGTTTCTCTATTTTGATCTTGTAATAATATCTATACATCACATTTTTCATTTCATTTCACGATATCTATTGATACTTCTGATCACGCCGACAACCGTGTTTAGTTAAAAATGTTACGCCACTGGTAGTCTGCCGTCAGCCATTGTCTGCCGTAGGTAAGATGCCTATGCCGTAGGGCACACAAAGACTCAGTAGTCGTTGGCGAGACGCCGAAAGAGAATCTGCGCTGCGTCTTTTCATTATTATAAATTCTAATAGTATTTTGAATTTAACCAGCAGTCCACATCTTAGTGTAATAAATAGTAATAAGTTATTTACGAATTGCTTTATTCACTACAACAAACCGTTCTTAGTTGTTCACCTGGGATATCTATTGTAATTAGTCTGAAGTTCGCCAGCTTCACAATGTCAATGGTCACATTGGTCACTTCATTTTCCAGCGGGCTACATCTCCCTCACCTCGATCATTCTCGTCGACCTGCTATCGGCCTCGACAAACTGACCAACATTGAGAAAATGGAAATTCACGTTTGGCAAGGGATACAAATAATACCTCCTTCGTTTGAATAATCGATATTTGCGTTCATTCTGGGAGATGTTTTGAAACATTGTCGATAAGAATTACTCATTTATGTCACCAGACTGTCATGAGTTTGATATTTCCATGGATGTCTAACATTACTTCTTCATGAAATTATATTTTTCACAAAAAGCGGCTTTATTAAGAAAACTTGATGATTTAGGTATAGGGACATGCTATGTCATCTTGTTAAATTCAACCTCACTAGGGCTATGATTCATTATTATGTTGAAATACGTGAGAATTAATTTATTAATGCACATACATACATACAAAATCTCGATTTATCATATACCGGGTGGCTACGGAAGTATTGCCTACGGAATATCTCAGTTATTGTATGAAATAGGTTTGTGAAATTTGGAGCGTCGATATAATGACATAAGAGCTAGAATTTGAGCATATTGACATGTCGAAGTTAACTTCCGGTCTGACCGGAAGTAACATCAACTTTCTTATTTCAAATGGAAACCCTATTTTTTTTCTTTTCGCTTTATTCAGCATTCAATTCCCTTTTCAATGACATATCACAAGTTGGTATCTAACCAGAAACTAGATCAGAAAAAATTATCAATTTGAATTTTTTTTCGATAAATCTGTTTTTTTGTTATTTGATGAATGATAATTGGATTTTTTGGTATTTCATTTCAAAAAATGACTATCATATCATCAGAAAGGAATGGTTTTGCTGAATAGTACAGGCAAGAAAAAGTTGTATGTTCCTATTGAAGTTATGGACCTACAGAGTATTGTTTTTTTCCCAATTTTTCCAATATTGTTTTTTGCGGCTTTCTATAACGCCGACGAATGAAAATAAAATATCACAGTAGTAGCAACTGTTATCAAGTGACGTACGGTTTCCATATCCAACTTTTCAATTTTTGGCTTTCATTTTGCTTCCACGGCCTACTCGGTGAATTTCAATAATAATTCTTTTCTGATCTAGTTTCTGGTTGGATACCAAATTGTGATATGTCATTAGAAAGGGAATTGAATGCTGAATAAAGCGAAAAAAATATAGGGTTTCCATTCAAAATAAGAAAGTTGATGTTACTTCCGGTCAGACCGGAAGTTAACTTCGACATGTCAATATGCTCAAATTTTAGCTCTTATGTCATTATACCGACGCTCCACATTTCACAAACCTACTTCATACAATAACTGAGATATTCCGTAGGCAATACTTCCGTAGCCACCCGGTATATGAAATATATTAATGAAGAATATCAATTATCTGGCAATAATTCCGCTGAGTTAACCCCCATTCATTCATCCGTGTTTGGCGTTTGAGATTGTTGGCGTATACCTTTTAATCATTTACGAATAAATCGCGCTGTATTTTTATTGTATTTAGTCTGAAGTTTCGCCAGATTCACAATGTCAACCCAAATAACATTACCTATCAGTTTTATTGTTAGCTACAGGATGTTGTTACAGCCTATTTTAAAATGCCTTTTCGAAACTATTATACGTTGATAATATCTTTAAAACAATTGAACAACATTCTCAAAACATAAAGGGCCCACCTTTATAGAAGCTGTCACAGCTTCTCTTAAAGCTTGTCATAAAACTAATAGGAATTTATAGTAGTATGCCTCAAAGCAATAATAAAACCTATCAAAACTACTTCCTTTAAAGCCTTTCAGCACGAGTTCAAACCTATATTCTTCCAAACGACAGTTCTGATGCCAATATTGAAACTTATTGGCTAGAATTAAAACCTTATCAGTTACAGTAAGCATTTGTTAAGGTAATGAGATATAGTCCGTACGTGTTACATGATAGTTTTTTTCAGAACTAATTATGATACAAACATGTCAAAATGGAGTGAAAACAATAGATAGTTATAAAAGAGATTGAACATGGCGGTATGATATGATAATTTCCTACTGTATTAAATAGTCCTTCTTGTGAAGATTGAGGCTGTGAAATGAAAACGATGACGACTTTTTTGACGAAAACATACCAGATATATGCTTCAAAACAAGCAGCGCCCTAGAAATTACGTGTTTTTACCAGTTAGAATTGGATGTGAATTTCATTAACTTTTCAAAAAAGTTGACAAAACTGTATGAATGTTTGCTGAATATGGGTGAGTCGTTTGAAAAATGTGTAAAAACATTTTCGACGGCAGTATCAATGCATATTTTTTATTTTCCGCTTGAAATTTTCATTTCCATCAATGGTCGACATCTGTTTGTAGTAAATATGGCGCAAAATATACTTAAAACCAATTTTCTTTCTCTAATGCTTGATTAAAACATTTAGGTAATGATAACGCATTTTAAGAGAAGATTTCCTCCTGTTGAAGTACTTATTGCATATTCATAACCATTCTTATGACTCTTTGCTCCTGGGTATGACAACAAAGCTTCGCTATGAAGCTAAGAATATTCTGGCTAGTGCTCATTGGCAGTGTTGCAAAAAGTAGAAGAACGTCATCAACATGATTAATATAACCCTACTTTTGTTATTTACAGTGTTCACTTTGTGATTGGTTTTAAGTTGGAAACCGACTAGGAAACATAAACATAGACAAACTACACTCAGTGCATCTAGCCAGATATTGTGTTGAATGCTCCATTCTCTCAAATTCATGCTGAACTCGCCATCTGACATAATTTTGGCAAAACTGTTGTCAACTTCTCCGCTTCCTAGTTCCCATTCAGAAGCACGATGATCAGAAGTATTTTCCAATACGTTCTGACTCGTTGATGGTACTTCATGAACATCAGGTCCTAATGAATTCTTGTTATTTGGTGGTTTCACGTGGGATGAATTGAAAGACGTAGTGTTTGGAATTGCTTGGGCTTGAGAATTCTGATTTGATTCTTGATTCTTAAGTAATTTTCTTAATTTTTTCGCTTGAAGTTTGCCATTTCTCTAAATTTCATACTATTTATTTTCTTGTGAGTTCATTTCAACGTGAGTCGTGTAAAACTTCCTATAGATTTTATGATTGACCTCGATGAATTCATTGTGGCTTATAGGTTTTAATAATTACTTTCACATGCCATTAGGTTTCATTATTGCCCCAGTCAAATCCTAATTGGCCTAGCGTAAATTTGGTTTTATGATTGCTTTATGACGTATTTTCATAAGATTAGTTCAAAACCTCTTGGTCAAATTCGAGACACTATAATGAAACTCAAGTGTTTTAAGAGGGTGGTTAAGAGTAAATAGTTTTGATAAAGAATTTCAATGACTTTCACAGAGCTCTCTTAATACCGAAGTGAGCTGATTGCCAAATTGTTTCATGCGATAGTTCTATCATAGTATCTCAAAGCCTTTTAATAGGATTATATGGACATGAAGGCCAATATGCTTTTTCCAGGGCATTCATAACACGGTAGAACAAATTAGATCTATCATTTGTGCTCACATATAACCTCTTTAAAGTCTCATCGAAGCTATTAGGCATTTAAAATGGTACTTGGGAATGGTCACTTGATTTTCCAGCGGGCTACATCTCTCTCACCTCGATCATCCTCGTCGACCTGCTCGGCCTCGACAAACTGACCAACGCCTTCGGCTTGCTCATCCTGTTCCGAGGGGCGGCCGCCATCGTCGGCTCTCCCCTAGCGGGCGCCCTATACGACGCCACCCATTCCTACAAAGTGCCCTTCTACGTGGCGGGCGGGCTGTTCGCCATGGCCGCCGTCACCAGCTTCCTGGCGCCCTGCCTCAAAGGGTTCGTGCCGCAGGAGGAGCCGCAACTCGGCGAGGTGAGTGGTGGTTTTGGATTTGTTAACTATTACTAGCTTTTGCCAGTGTTGCCATAGACTAAATGTTTTTCCTACGACTACTACTGTAAGTGATGGATATTGTACACAAAACAATGGCAGTAAGCTTCTCCTTACACACGTGTGCGTAAAGAGAGCGATCGCACGGTTTTCATAGGTATGTTGATAGATGACTTTGTTTTGTTGCTTAGGCGATGTGTCGATAACAATTAACGATTTCATTAATGTCACTTGCTAGGTGGGTAGGATGTTGGAAAAAGCTAAAATGGTAAAAAATTAGTTGCTACCAGCTAAGTCTCGTGAATAATACGAAATAGCACATCAAAAATTCCTGGACTGGAGAATTAGAAATAATACCGTGTCATTTTCGGAAAAATCCTTTTAGTATATTTTCAAGAATAATCAAATTCGATGAAATCATCATCACTCTGGTCGATATATTCCATGTTACGATCAACACTAAATATCAATCACAATATTAATTAACATATTATCCCATATTCTCAAAAGGGAAGGATGGATTCCGAAGTAAAATATCAAAAATACTCAATGCTGAACAGATCAATTATTTTCTGCAGAATGCTCCTGTTGAAGGTAATTTTTCTAATAACATACATACTCAACATTGAATTGATGAATTCCTTTTTCTTTAAATAACAGCAATAATTAAAAAAGATCAATCTTCGAAATTATATTAATAAAATATCTACTAATACGGAGAAATGGTGGTAGCTCAGTTGTTGGAAGCGCTGGCTCCGAACCCAAAGGTCGGTGGATCAGAGCGCGGTTGGGAGAACTTTTTTTTATTATTTTTAATAACGATTACAGAATCTCTCGTGCTGCACTGTTACAAATATATAACCATTATGAATGATAATTTTATATTTTTAAACAATGTGTTTTTTGCTACCTATTAATAAAGCTGTTTAGATATGAAAAACGGCTCCATTTCAGTTCGAATTGAGGAAAATGTCTCGGTATGCAACGTATCAATAAACAAACACAAGAATTGTGATATGTAACTTTTCATGCATCTGGCTTAGTGACGGGAGACGTTTCATATTGGTATTCGTTATTTGTGCCTTAGTACAATATCTGCACTATATCCGGAAGAAAATATAGTGTAGTCGTAGAAAAAGTATAGTACAATTCTCGAGTTGTAAAGCAATTACGCACTTGTGGAGTTACACACTCGCCGCTATGCGGCATCGTGTGTAACTCTCTCCACTTCGTGCGTAATATGCGTTTTACAACTCTTGTTATGTAATATACTATTTCGAGCGAGCTACGCTGTCAAAGACGAGCGAGATCTTGACTCAAAGAGCGAGATTTTGTTGTTGATGAAATAAATGAACATTAACTCAGAACACATTACTAGGTAAGTACAGGGTGGGCAAAATTGGACGTTTTCATAGGCTATCTCAGTAACTGAAGGAGTTATCAAAAAATTGATATACCATGTTATACGGGTTCGATTTTAGAGAAACCTCGAATGGAACAATTGGAATTTTGATATCTTCATTCGTTTCAGAGATACAGGGGGAAATTGAAAAATTGCCGATTTCGTTTTTATTTTCTGAATACTTTATGGAGAGAGATATTGAAAAATTAAAAAAATTTATCTATATAGAATTATGCGTAGAATTCATTGGCATCATCAGAAATTTCTTACAGGGTGACATCAAGAAGATACGGTTGTCAATTATTTTTTTTCTAATGGAACACCCCGTATATTTTAGCACAGTTGGATAGTCCTAAGCACTGTATATTCGAATATATACCATATTAACCTACCTTTTCCTTCGACAACTTCAGAAATATCCGCTAAAATATACTCAATGTGTCACATTTCTCATGGTTGCACCTCTGTATCTTCCGTAATAATCATTGAGGTAGGATTCCGACATTCGCAGCTGTGAGAAACATGCCAATGATACAACCGAGGATCAAGTGGGATCATCTCCAGTGATAACACTACTCGTCAGCAGCTATGGAATCACCGTCATCTCTGGAAAATGCTATAAAGATGAAGAATATAGGTTGAAAATGATACTCTGTATATATTAACCAAAGTAGGAGAATAAATATCATTGAAAATTTGATTCAAATATTTTATGTCACTAGTGCTGTATTGTTTAATAGGCATAATGAACACCACGGGGCTGATCATAATCCTCGAAGTCATCATGATAGTAGGCAACAGGGAAGGTTTGGCTTCAACATATCAAGTTGTTTCATCAAATGATACAGGGTGGCCTACGTTATATTTGAGGAAAATTTGAGAGTGGAAAACTATATTAGGATAGATTACCGCATATTTATTTCAAACAGGATGGATGTCCATCCCTAATGCCCGTAGAGACTAGAGTCTCGAGATCATACCCGTGTGTTCAGCGAACACGCCCGATCGTTACCTTAGCGGTGGGGAGACGTAAACAGGCAGCTTCTCTCATTCAGTTGGGATGAATAATGTGAGGAGTGGGAGTAACTACGTTATGAATATTGGTGCGTGCCAGAATTATTTTGGAGTCCAATTTGTCAATCTAATGGAAACACTCCTGTATTTTACGTAATTGTTGAGTTTTATTAGGATTCTGAAATTTACAAGAGTCATAGGTATACAATATAGATATAGGTACCTACCAAAAATAAACTCTTTGACCAAGTGGGGACATCTTCAGTGATATATACACTGCTTATTGATTGTATCTTTCTTGCTGCTGTGAATAGAATACTTACGTAAGATCGTTAGATACGGGGGTGCTTTCATGTGAATTGAAACAAAATTTGATTTTTCAGAACTGAACATTTCTCAGGAACAATATGAATAGTCAGTGAATTGGACGTCCTGATTTCGAATCCGAAGTGATTTTCAACCTATCTTGCCTCCTATTATCATTTTCCGAAAAAGTTGGTGGGTCAATGACCCGAGCAGTGTATTTCACTGGAGATTACCTCACTTTGGTCATAGTTGGTATACATATCTATCGCTCCTGAAAATTGAACAGTTACGTTAGATATACAGGTTGATTCCATTAGAAGTGACATGCACACTGTTTATATTTTTGAATACATTCAGTGGGATTGAATTTTATTTTATGTTGAATATTAGAGTGTGTTTTTTTATTTGATATATTTGTTTTGTTCATTTCAAATAATTCTGAAATCTGATCCACCCTATATTTGTTTCGATTTAATGGCATCAGTAGATAGTAAATACAAAAGACAAATCAATATAGGTATTATATAGTTTCGATACAAAAAAAAATCTCGATTTTTCACATTCTACGTATAGGTATACCTTGAGCTTGATCAACGAAATCATAGCTCAATTAGAAGAATCGAAAAATGTAATAAAATATAAGGTCTACTACTAACTACTAATAATAATTTCTAGTGAAGCAGATGAACATTATTGAAAATAATTTGAATAAAACGAGCGTCCTCGCCAACAAAACATAAGCATATAATATGTACATATAGTTTCATGATTTTCGATGAGTGGTTCGCTATTTACATGTAGGAGTCGTCGTGACATAGCGAATTATTGCAAATCAAATCATCGCTTTCATTATCTGATAGATCGCAGTAGATCACTTGATGCCTATCAAATTTTTCTTATTTTTTCGAAAAAAAAAAAATGTTGAAATGTGATCCAGAAAACTGTTGGTGGCCCACTCCGTACTACAAAAACAGAGACAGTTATCACTGGAGATGATCCCCCTTGATCCTCGAGTGCATCATTGGCATCTCTCTCACAGCTGCGAATGTCGTAATTCTTCTGAGCGGTTTGTTTTGATGATATGACCAATGAGCACAAAAAAAAACCAAGTGAAGATGCCGCTTTGACAGCTCTCAAGAACTTCGATAGGTGCCGTACGCTTATTTTCTATCGCGAATAGAAAAGTCTCGCTCGATGTGACGTAGAGAAATCATATCGAGCGGTCGAGTGATTTTTCTTAAGTTTTCAATATGTAAAAATGGCCGAGTACGCGCACCGTCTACTCATTTCAATCATTCATAAATGAAAGAAAAGACTTCAAGTCATGAACATTTGTGAAAATTACTTTGAGTTTTGTATTTATTTATTTGCTATATTTTCTGCTTGTCGACTGGCTACAATATCTCAACGTCAAAAAGCATTGTAATTCTCAATCTGGAAGAATCTTTTACTTTCAGATCTGTACAAGTTGAAACTTCAGTGTCAACAATAACGAACAGAGTACTCCTTAATGTTATGTTCAGGGTATCCCCCCTTATCTGGTAAACTAGAGCGGATACAGAAACAAACGATCATCGAAGTTATTTGTAGTCATATAAACTTTCAGATGATGTAAACTATACAGGATGATCCATATGCCTGTGACATACCAAACATACGATTGTTGCAGGGAATACCCTGAATTTTATTCCTTCCTCAGATAGAGCTCAGGAAGATGGGTTCAATAATAAATGCTAATATGGACCTGAGATCACCCGTTTCGGACTTATCCATGATCTTCTTCAATAAATAGCCAAATTTTATAGCCCTTCAGAAACGTTGAGAATCAAGTTTTCGATGCGCAGTTTTCGTCATGAATTACCAAATTCTATATGTTATCTTGATATTCCGTCAATTTTCAAAAATTTCGAATTTGTCAAAAGTGATGACGTATATTGCAAACCCATCATTTTCTCGAAATTTTCTTGTTTGGATAGAGCTCATACGAGTTCTATGATATATGATAATATGAGTCTGAGAACATCTGTTTCAAAACACTCTAAAAATGTTGTGGAAAGTTCTTCATGCTCGTTTCTCGTTATAGATCTCTATAACAATTCCTAAATATCCAAGAAACGCGCATGGAAAACTTGATACTCAACGGTTTTGGAGGATTTTGAAATTTCGCTACTCACATATATCATTGAACTCGTCTATCTGAGCTCTATCCAAGGACGAAATGAAATTTAGGGCATTCCATTTGGGAAAATCGTATGTTTGGTATGTCACAGGCATATAGATCATCCTGTTTATTTTACAGTATCAATTCTAGTTTACCAGATAAGGAGGTGGAATATGTTATATGAGATACCCTGTAACTGTTAGGGGAGATAACTCCCTGGCCCATTTCAGTAATGAAATATTTTAGTTAAACCTATCCCCCAATCTGCTGCGCTTTCGAGACACAAGTGAATTTATTTATTTATTTATTTATATATTTGGGATACAACAGGCAGAAGCCCAGGACAGTATCCACTTAACAGTTATTCAAAAAGTCAATCGGCATAACAAATGATTTCAACTTAGAGCATTTTACATAGTAATGACTCAATGGGACTCAATTGTGGTAATACTAAAGATGATTTACTTATACATAAGTTTACAGCTACAATTAACATAAGTAAGTCAACAGTCTACATAAATAAATGTCTAGTTCACATGAATAATTCACATAAATAATTACTTAATTACTTAATGTATCTACCGACATCCATGGGATACAGATTTTTATAATAAATTGGAATTGGGTTTATTTGAATTTAAAAGAAGGCGCTTAATACATTTTTTGAATGTAGTTAGAACAATTATAGAACAATTTTTAGTTAACGATGTGTTGAATATGTCATATTCATGAAAGTATTTATTGAAAGATTTAGTCATTCTGCAGATTGGTGAGTTATTAGCAGAGTTCGTGTTTTTGAACGGAATATCAAAGAAATTGTGATTTCTCAGTGATCTTGAAGGTACATTCATGTTCATTCTGTTCAAAATAGCAGGACTATCAATTTCTTCGTTTAATATTTTATGCAAATTGAGCACATCGTTCATTATTCTTCGGTTTCCTAAAGATAATATTTTGTAATCATCACAAGTAGAAGCGACGGGGGTGTGTGTTTTGTATGACAAATATCTCAGGAATTTATTCTGAACATTTTCGATTCTCTCAACATGAACATTGTACTGAGGGTTCCAGATAGAAGAGGCAAAGTTGAGTTTGCTGAAAACATAAGCATAATAAAGTAAATATCGCCTGAGGGTTAGATATAAATTTAGTTTGTCTCATGATAAATCCTAACATCTTGAGAGAATTGTTTATTACATCATTTATATGACGGTCAAATGAAAGTTTACTGTCATATGTGACTCCTAAATCTCTGACTTGGCTACATCGTTTCATGCATGTCTTTTCTATTTATTTTTAGGGTGACGCCCTCACGCCCATAGATGAAGACGAAGAAGAAGACGAGCCTATCACCATGGGCCACCAGGGCGGCAAACGTTTGCCCACAATAGTGAAAACCGCGTCGAGTCCAGACGAGAAGGAAATCCAGATGAAGGAGTCCGTATTGTGAAGTGCGAACCGGTTACTTTTATAAATTATTTTAATTCGTATGTACAGCACTATCGCCTTTTTGTACAAACACGAGCACCTGCGAATATCGAATGTCAGAAGTTTTTGTTTTGAACTCGAATAAGGTGTTTTCTAGGAAAGTGCGCTGATGCTGGCAATTCGAGGAAAATTGTTGGAAACATGTTGATTTGATGCTGTTAACACGGGAAGAAGCATAACCATAGACAGAATCATTTACATTTATGCATTCAAACTTGAATGCTTCCAATTTTATTATTTTGTAAATAAATTCTGAATGGTTTCAGGGTTTCAAAAACACAAGTAAAATAATTAATTCTCTCATTCAAACGGTTCAAATGAGGGACACACATAGTTGCCATAAGAAGTGAAAATATATTTGGAAAGCACGTTTTCTTTACTGGATAATTTATATTTATTTCCCCGAATCTGTTCTCGTATGTATCAGTTTACAGTTTGTTCAAATCGTAAAATTCCTTGATACAGTTCAGCCGGCAACCTGACAGAACTCTACAAATGGAACTCAAAACTTCAGTACATTCTGGCCGCCAACTGCTGTGTTTGAAAATTTTCCACGAAATTGTGAGGCTCTTAAACGATATTTTCTCGCTTATCACAAAATATTTTGTTAGGAAAACTATGCATGTATATTTGCAATTTTTTTATGAGCATCTATGGTAACAAAATTAAATCTCCTTTTGTGATCAACATAATTCCTTCGTATTGAATTGAATAAGGGATTCAGAGCTTGTATTGTTTTTTTGACTGGCTGTTCACAGGGGTGGTTCAGTTTCAAGAGCTTGTATATTAGGAATCTATTTAAATTTCACAAATCGCGATTAGTTGGGTAGAGAAAAACAAACAAAATGTAGCTTGTTTGTAGAACAAGAAGATCTACTTAGAAGGTATTGATAAAAAACTAGTGATTCAGTTATAACTGTTGATTTTTTTAGATGAAATTGAATGATACTTTCATCAACATTCAAAAATGTTATCTGCATACACCAAAAAATATGACTGTTATAAAAATGCGGGCTTTATTGTTGTACTCACTGATACACAGCATACAGATTAATAAATCCTTACACTATGAATGATACTTGAGCATGTCAATTTTTTATTGAAACAATCAATTTTATTCAATCTTTGCTCGTCGGTTGATGCTACTTGGTTATATCTATAAAAAATCTCAGAAGATTCACAGGGTTATCTATTTTGCAATATACAGGGTCTTCAGGTATATTTTGAACAACCTCTTGACTTAATTATCACTCTCGTTTTCAAAAGAACGGTTCTTCATATTTTTTCATGTAGATTTTATATAGGTTGACAGATGAAGTTGAACATCTCAAGGAAAAGTTATGGAGAACCTATATAAGTTTTCAAATGGAACGAAAACCATAAATAATGAAAAACCATTTCTTGAGAAATAGAAAAATGAACAAAAAAGTTATGTAAAAGGGTTCAAAAACGTGAACGCACTGTAGGTTAATTTTAAATCGATATTCTACTCCAGAATTCTCGGATCCTCAAAAAAGTCTTCCTATCGAATTGTTCTAATTATATATGATTTTGTTATAGTTTATGCAAAGTCAATCGAACAGATCATCAAACGAATGTCGGGCTGCGCTGCCGCACTCTTTGAACTTTCAAAGGGACCGACGGCTTGCGGTGATATGTTTTTCCAACTTAGCATAAACTACACCTCATTATCATGACAGTAGGGGAGCCCAAGCAGGGATTCTGGGATTTACTCGAGCGTGAAAAAATTCAATAGGGGGGGATGGGGTAACCATGCACCTTGTGAAATACTCTCATCATACCTGAGATCTTTCTAGGCTTCTCAATATAATTTTTGAATTGACTCGGCCGTTACTTAATGGAAATCCATGACAAATGTAAAAACTTCACAAACGATAAGATTTCCAGAAAATTCTTAAACACACAACATGTTTCGCTAACACAGTAGCTTCGTCAGGTGATATACTGGTACAGGGTGAACAACTAGGAACGACTGTCGGCCATATCTCAGCAACGAATAATGATACAAGTTTGAGATAGAATGAATCTAATGGTATGCATATCATAACACGATGTGATAGAGGAACTAAATCTCAACAGACCAACGAAAACCGCAACATGATAGCTTTTCGCCAACGGAAGATATTAACTATCCAAGTTGGGAGAATGATAGATATGACAGCCGTTCTTAGTTGTTCACCTGGTACCATGAACTGTTCATTTCACCAGTATATCACCTGACGAAGCTACTGTGTTAGCGCAACATGTTGTGTGTTTAAGAATTTTGTGGAAATCTTATCGTTTGTGAAGTTTTTACATTTCTCAATATAAGTCTCAATATCAACAATTGAATGCGAGTTTGGAACGTGGGGTTCCAATATTCCAAGATAGATGCGGCGTGAACGATGGACAAATTCCCCCTTTCCTTCATTATTTCCTCACAGCTCTTCTCTAATTCTATTTTTAGTTCTACTATATGTATGAAGTATTTCTTCAACTAATATGCGTGGAGAAAAAGAAATAATATTGAGGAAGCATAAACATTAACAAAAAAAAAAACTGAAACACCGCATATTCTATTGATATCTGAAACGCTCGAGTATTTCTTTGTGACTGTGAGAAATTTCGACAAATTCAAATTTTCAACGGGAATCTTTACTGAAGTGAATTGATGAAAACTGATAGAGACTATTTTCATTACACATACAGCTGATGGATAATTTCCAGATTCGTACTTCGTTTCCAATATGGCTATAGCCCACCTTTAGAAGTGGAAACCCCTTTAGTGCTGTAATGATACTTCGTTTTAGCATCTCCAGAAATCAATTCCGTATTGTAAGTACAAGGGGCGATGCCTGGAAAACCCTGTAGAGTGGATAATTCTTATAATTTTACTCAAAAATAATTGAGATTGATTCGGACTCAAAATATTGGTATATTGTAAATAACGTGACTTGAGAGGTTATTTCTGACAGCAGAAATACAACTTTGTGGGAAATCGTTCTTCCTGCTCGAATCGACAGGTACATACATGAAACGCGCTGTTTATTCCCGTACCATTATAGAAAGACCTTTGAAAAAGTTATTTTGAAAGGAAGTATTCTGTAGAACATAAAATCTCAAAAAAAAAATATCTACCATTTTTTCCCGTTTCTTCCTAGACGCACGGTGTTCTTTGAACATTATAGGTATTCCCTTTCGTGCGCTCCAAGAGATGAAGAAAAATCTCCAGTATTTTTCGGCGGATACGCCATGACAATGATTGTACTATTGATTTTCATCGATCTAACTCTATTAGATTTCCAAAGGCCTCTCTAATATGGTAGAGATAATACCTGTATAGGGGCCTGGAATTGGCAATGTATACACTATTTCCTGCTTCCTGTATATTCTCTGACAATGAAAATTCAACATGAGCCCGAAGTTTATGAAGTATTTCCAAACCTCATCGTCTCATATATCACATTAGATCACATGCCACAGGTATTGTGCACAGTTTTTTGAAAAAAATGCTGATCAAATATCACGTATATCTTATCATATCAGCTGATGGGAATATTTCGTGAGATTTTCGCTCCTTCAAAATCAACCAGTCGATTTCATAGTATACTTCATACTGTCAAAAATGAAACATGACACCCGTTAGCTACATGTGTTATTTGTTGAACAGCTTCAGCGTAACTTCTTGAATTGAATTGACAAAATGCTACAAAAGAGTCAAAAATTCCAAACTGTGAGTACTTATAAACGGATGTACTTATGGGTATGTGGGAGAAACTAAAGTCACTAGTCTTCTTTCCCCAACAGATATAGACTGAGTTTTTAGTACATATAGAGGAATGGTAGACGTTCAAAACTGTTTTTTTCCATACATTATTGAGTAATTACTGTTGCATATCAAATAATGTCTTATGCTTTATCACAGAGAAGATGACATGTTATTTCAAGGACATCCACAAGATATCGTCGGCGATGTCGGTGGTACAGTGTTCACAGATATCCACAAATAAGGACAGATATTTTTGAGGGATTTCATTTTGTGATATTATCGAGTAATATAAAGAAAAGTTTAATTTCATCAGAGGAATGAAACTAAGTGGCTAATGAATTATTGTATTCAAACTCTCATACATGAAGAAAAAATGATAACATTCTAAATATGTAAACGCAAAACACACACATCCTGTCATAATATCGACTAATGAAACGATCACTAAATTAGTGTTGTCAAACAAAGGTGTAAGATTCTCATACTAACGGGGATCTATTTCTGCATCATATTATGAATTGATATCTATCATATGGATATCCAAGATATATTCTCAGATTGTTGCGAATAATATCTCATAGATGTTCATTTCAATACCACGAAGAAGTACAGATACAAGTAGATACTCTTTGAAAGATTCCATAAGTGATCGAGAATATTAGAGAATGAGAAAAAATATGTTGATCCCAAACATCATTATGGCTATCCATAAATTATCTTCCGAATGATATCTGTTTCATATCCATCGATGCATATCCCCTGGATGTCCATCTAAAGTCCAGGAAAAAAGTGTATACGACTTTTTCCCATGAAAATATCTTTCAAAGGATATCCATTTCACAACCCTGACATCCAATTCTAGTCCAAGTTTATGCCGACCTGGATTGGACATCGAACGAATATTCATTTATTCAAGTTATCAGGTGTTATGTGGGAAGCGATAATGTTCTTTGACTGATCTCTCTCGTGATAGAGCTCAGATTAGTTTGATTAACAGTAAACTTTGATCCTTCTGCTATGTCACAGATTATAAAGTATTACAAACACTGCTTTCCCCGTGAAAAATATTTCAGTTTTCCTTCATATACCTAGTAAAAAAAACATTCAGTCTGAATCGATCACCCTTACATAGTTACGAATGTGAGAAATGACAGTATTTCTGTGAATTTTAGTCAATATTATAAAATCTAGATGTAAGTATGTTCAATATGTAATATTAAGTTTACTTTGTATATAAAATTAATCGGACAATATTAGAATTTCGCTATGGATCATTTCACATTGAGACGCTGCACAATTCGTTTCACTGAAATCGTTCCTTTCAACTGCAACGTTGTTCACCAGTTATAAACTGCTCAACACTTTGAATGTAACATCACATAATTTCATTCAATACCATATGCCATCTCATTGGACATATAGAGACTCATAAGGTTTAATTTTCTGATGTGATACTCAAATTCCTATGGAAGGTATTGAATTAAACTTGAAAAGTTATAATTAGGTGGAGTTCATTCCGATGAGTGTTGACCATTTGAGAATAAAGAGATCAGAGTAGTTATTTTCCTGATATTGTCAAACTGCTGGGAACTTTACAGTTGGAAGGATAAGCGCCTTGTTGAACTGGTTTTGACAGGTTCAGCTTGAGTTTCCTCAAAAACACGCTCAAAAATTGAGCAGTCGTAATGTCGATACAGATAGCCTTACATAGATAATAGTACCTGTGCACCTCAAGTAAATGTACTTTGTTAGTTACGTTGAACTATTGAGTAAACGTTTAATGATCTCCACTGATGTTTTATTTACAATGTGATGAGCTCAAGAAAAATTATTCATGCAATAGTTGGTACAACACTATCCTTCGTCCCCAAATGACCGTTTTGACCAATTATGAATAGTTTCGATAATGATGGAAGTAAGATGTATTGAAAATTTCAGAAAAATCACTCGACCGCCTACTATGATTTCTCTACGTCACTACGAGCGAGACGTT